TAGATAATACATTATGATTCTAATATCTTCCCAGGTGGTAGTACCTCCCTCTTTCATAGCTGCCTACTACCTACTACGCATAGCTGCCTACTACCTACTACGCATAGCTACCTACTACACATAGCTGCCTACTACCTACTACGCATAGCTGCCTACTACGCATAGCTACCTACTACCTACTACGCATAGCTGCCTACTACACATAGCGGCCTACTACCTACTACGCATAGCTGCCTACTACCTACTATGCATAGCTGCCTACTACCTACTATGCATAGCTGCCTACTACCTACTACGCATAGCTGCCTACTACCTACTACGCATAGCCGCCTACTACCTACTATGCATATTGCCTTACCACCACTACGTTAGCTGTTCATTACCTACTACGGCCAGCTGCTCACTACCCACTATTATGCATAGCTGTTTACTACCCAATATGCATAGCTGCTTCACTACCTACTACGCATAGCTGCCTACCACTCACTACGCATAGCTGCTTCATCATCTACTACGCATATTGCCTACTACACATAGCTGCTCACTACCCACTACGCATAGCCGCGCTCTTTACCACCCATTATGCATAGCTGTTCGCTACCCACTATGCATAGCTGCTTACTACCCACACACGCATAGCTTACTACCTACATAGCCGCCTACTACTCATTAATACGCATAGCTGCTCTTACCACCACTATGCATATTGCCTACTACTCACTATGCATAGTTGCTCATCAATTCACTGGCGCATAGGCCACTCACTGGCGCATAGCCACCACCACCCACTACACATTAGCTGCTCATCACCCACTATGCATAGCCGCTCATCACCCACTGGCGACAGCTACCTACTACACATAGCGGCCTACTACCCACTACTTATTAGCTGTTACCACTCCATCAATACGCATAGGTGCCTACCACCTACTATGCATAGCCGCTCATCACCCACTATGCATAGGCTACCCACTATGCATAGCCACCATCACCCACCACACATAGCCGCTCACTACCCACTATGCATACGCTCATCACTCCACTACGCATAGCCGCCTCACTTCAATTCACTGATGCTATTAGCCGCCTATCTTGCCTACTACCTACTACACATAGCTGCCTATTACCTACTACGCATAGCTGACTACTACCTACTACGCATAGCTGCCTACTACCTACTACGCATAGCTGCCTACTACCTACTACGCATAGCTGCCTACTACCTACTAAGCATAGCTGCCTACTACCTACTACGCATAGCTGCCTACTACCTACTACACATAGCTGCCTACTACCTACTACACATAGCTGCCTACTACCTACTACGCATAGCTGCCTACTACCTACTACGCATAGCTGCCTACTACCTACTACGCATAGCTACCTACTACGCATAGCTACCTACTACGCATAGCTGCCTACTACCTACTACACATAGCTGCCTACTACCTACTACGCACAGGGTGTTGTAGTCATTGGCTTAGGCCATTAGGGTATTTTCCACGTGGGTTTAAGTCATCATAACCAAAGGGTTAAACAAGGCGAGGGTTCAGAGCTCCTGATTTTACGAAGTTGACGCATTTGATCACTGCCTCCACGATCTTGCAGGGCGGAGGTGGGAGGATTTTCGACGCCAGTGCAATGAATCCCTTGTCCTTCAGAGCCACTTCCTTGACACGCGTCTGAAACCCCGATCTCGTAACCCGCATCGCCTGAGCTCCATCCATTGGCTGCGAAGAAAGAAACTAACTATTCTATCACGTCTGCAGTTGTCGTAGTGGTCTCAAGCGCGGTACAGAAACAACTTCAGATTTTTAATAGACATGATTCCACTACACTACGTACTTGTTAAGTGAGTTAGCTGTCAATTTGGAGCCTCCACCAGTGAGCCCGGGTGACCTGACCAGCACGCCACTGGGTACTAGTTTGATAGACTCCTTTCAACGTTTTATACCAATTGGTAGGTTGTGGCATATCTCGAAGACTAAACAGAATTGTTGTACTCTAAATGAGGCGGCACTGCCCATTTTTAAAGCCAAATTTAACAAAACAACTTTATGCATCACAACCAGAATACTAATCCAGCGTCTGAGTGTACTGACATTGACACACGTGTAAGAGGATATCATTAGTATGGATACTTCCCTGGGTGAGTAAACACGAGGCCACACACACACTATACAGCTGGCGCCATCCTCAGAATAAAAGAGAACCATTATAATACAACCTGTGTCCTCCATGCTGAATTGACAGAGGCAGCTCACATGAAGCTTCTGGAGAAATCTTTTCGTTTTATCTTCAATTCGACATCCCACACACCTCTCATTCTGTATCCCTGACAAAATTCTGTCTACAACCTTGAATAAATAATGCATAAATATGTCTTATAATACTGAGTTAAGTGGCCCTAGTGACATAAGCATTAGTGCCAGTTATAACTATGCATCTCCAACTGATGATCTGAAACGAGATAGGCATTTGAAGTCAGAACTGTCAATCCTCTCTTCAATCCAGCTTGAAGGCGGTCGATCTATCATCCAAGACAGACCCGTAGATAAGCGAACGGCACTGACCCAAGATAGCAGATGTTAACATCTTAATAAATAAATTGTCAGTATTTTGCTGTTCCCAATACATTTCTGTATCATTCTAAGCCTCTGTTCTTCTATAACCTTTTCTGTATATTTACTCAGAGTTCATGTTATTTACTAATACTTTACCTTAGTATAATTGTATATAGTTATTTGTAACAATATTTATGTACAGTATTACTATGGCCCACAATCTGAATTTTAGTACTGTACTGTAATTTCGATTATCTAACTAAAGAAATGATACTAAAGTCAACAGATCCTTACAACTTGTGAACTATATTTTAAGTACATTCATGTACTTAATTATGATGGGACAGAAATAAGTAAAGGTGTGACACTCATGGAACCATGTTCTTAACTATTACCCTTCTGTTTAATTAAGGATAAGATTCTGACACCTGACGATACACTTCCTTGCTTTGACTTTCATATTTTTCCAGCATGTCCGCCGTTACTGTGTCGTTCTTCTTTGACCCTTGACATTTGTGTTGTATTGTTCGGTAACTTCCTTCCACTTGTTTGTCTTACGTAGAGTCGACGCCGCATCTGTATTCTTTGATTCAATAGCACTGTTTCCGGTAACTAAACTACCAAGGAGAGATTTCTCCTCCTCCGAGAATAGGCATCGTAGCGGAGCGGGTAAGTGTAAATTTTTGAGGTAATCTTGCAAATGGTGATGTAAGTATGAAAATTGGCTGAAGATTCAAAATAAGTTGATTATCAAATCTATCTGATTGGACAACCAAAAATCCAAGATGGCGGCCATTTTCGAAGATGGCCGCTATTTTTTTTTTTCTTTATGGGAATAGCCCACACGGGTGGATGTCATATTTTCCTGTTGGCATAAAAATAATTGTATTAATCAGTTCAGGTGATTTCAGTGTTGATTTCCATTTTTAAGAGTATGTAGAATCTGAATTTTGTGTTGAAAACTCTGAAATGTATAGCATTCAAATGAAACATGCTTGTAAAGAGTTCAGCCTCTTTATACACGGCAGATTTCTCCCATACCTTGACCTTTGACCTTAATTGACCCCAGCCTGATCTCTTTCCAGGAGTCGCCGCCGCCGGAACAGGTCAACCAGCAACACACATCTTATGACTTGGCTAATGAGCTCTTCTCCCTGCCTGGTGTCATCGTGAACTAGTCTCGTCTCACCATAGAGTTGGTCAAGGTTCATCATAGAGCAAGGGTTAAGGGAGAGTAAGTGAAGAGGAAATTGAAGATAGAAGAGGGACAAAGAAGAGGAAGGTGATGAAGACAAGAGAACTGAAGAATCTAACAGACCAATGATAAGTTTACTATAGCGAAGACCAAACGGTAATTTCCTCTCCAAAGTGAAGAGATGAGAACATGTACAGTACAGTATATAAGGTAGTTGAAATTACCTCCATAATACACTGAGACTACCAGGAGGGAAATTTATATAATTATACGAACAATAGGCGGTGTGATATTAGAATCTATTGAAATAAAGGAGTTGTATAGTTACCCCCTTTGTTTTTATATTACCACACACACACACACACACACACACACACACAGACACACACACACACAGAACCACAACTAAGATACTTCTATAGGTTAACAAATAAACATAGATTATACACCTGTAAGCTTGATATTCCAACTGCTTTTGTAACACCGCATGCATGAGTAAACATGTTCCTATATAATTAGGTGAAGATATTACATAATACCAAATATATCATCACACTGAAATACCACTGTAACAGAAGGTAAACAAGAGTACTGTAACCTACTCTGGATATATTTATTTAAAGCAACAATAAAGAAACAATTACATATACAGTATAGATTTTTTTTCCCAAGAGCAATAAAGTTACCTTGGAAATGAGTCTCACCTTCGTCCTGGTTACGGGATAAGGTATATATATATACAGGTATACACGTGGAATAGGTGCACACAATGTTTAAAGGTATACACAAATGAGGACAGGTATACACAATGTTTAAAGGTATACACACACAGATTGACAGGTACGTACAATGAAAGACAAAAGTCGTGTCGTGAAATTTGGTGAAGACATATGCCGAAGGGTTAAACTTTTGGTGCCGCTCTGCCTTGTGGTAGGGGGCCCCTCTCATAACGTTTCACGAGATATATTTAATCTCCGGACAAACCCGCGACACGACTTTTGTCTTTGATTGTACACACAGGAGACAGACAAACAGGTCAGAGCCGCTATCTGACATCTATTATTAAACTATGTGGCTCGTGTAAGGAATTTTTTATACTGTTATATTAACCTCACTGAAACAATGACCATTTCGAGTAGGAGGAGTCATACGGCAATGATGTCATAAGAGGCGGGGTTTACTAGTGACGTCACAGAATCGCGCCACCTACAAACGTGTGTTGACTGGCGGGCTCATCATTCAGTGATTGAGCTGGTGTACAGTATATAGCTTACTCGAATGCCATTGCAGAAGAAACCCGTGAAGGTGTTACCCTGACAGGTAAGTATAGTGTGTGTGTGTGTGTGTGTTTATATCCTAGTTGAGTGTGTATGTTAATGCATGTCCGGAAGTCTGTGTTTGTATGTGCGTTTATGGTTGTGTATGATTGTGTGATCGTATATAACTGCACATCTCACTAAATGTATAGTTTCCATATATAGGTTTGTGTTGTGTTTGAGGGTGTGTGTGTACCAGAGTGATCAATGTCTCAGGGGGGTGGAGGGGGAACATTTCTTCTCACAGACACACCATACAGTTAACCCTTGTGGTTAGTGGTGGTGACTGTCTGCCTCGCCGCTGGTCAGGTACACTCATGTCTATATTTCACGTCCAGGTCATGAGAGAGGCGAGGTGTCATAGCAGCCTCAGTCCTAACAGGTCCTAATCATGTTAATTAGGTCTAAAATCTTAATAGTTAATATGAGTCAAACACTCCCTCACCTTAAACTGTTGGCGGGAGACATTTCGTGGAAGGCTAACTGAGAAAAAAAATATCTCAGTTAATGTTATGCAGGAGGAATTCTATGTTCTTATAAGATGTACATTGTTTTAGCTGTGACCTTCACCGACTATCAGGATTACTTGACACTCGCCTCCTGTATATGACATCAGTCTTCTCAACTCGCTACACGTTTTCATGATTGTGTCTACTTATATGAATTCTTGTTTCTTGGTTACAAATCGCACTGACTGTAAATTATGTGGACAGGTGTGTGTAGGAGTATCAAGACCCGTAAAGCTGTGGCGAGACGTGAATAGACATACCCAAGACGTACACATATTTCACCTGGTGTGTGAAGACGTGTCTTAAAAATGGAGTTTCGTGTGCCGACGGACGCCACACTGCGGCGTCATGGTGTGGGTATAAATTTGTCAGGGAGGTTGCCGCTTCTCCTGGAGGGCACCTCACTGGGCACCTTTACCCTCGCCATCCCCATGATCATATTTATCGACGAGATCTTCAATTTAGACATGTTTTTTGGCAGGTGAGAGATGACAGGTGTGGGTTGTGCTTTATATTATGACTTAGGAATCTTAACAGGTATGGGTACAGTAATGTGTGCGCAACAACAGTAATAAAATATTATAGTTGTGCATAAACAGCAGCTGTCGCCTTGGCTACGGAGGAGGGTGACAAAGAAAGCAGATTTAAGGGACCCTTCTGGAATGCATTTCATTTTCGAAATTCACATCTGCGGCCCATGGGGATTCATATCATATGTGGTTTCCTCTGGTTAATTATTTTCATTGAGGAGGAGTCAGACAGACAAAAGATTGACAGACAGACATAAGGCACCAGAATTAACAAATTAGAGACAGGGAGATAGAGATCCTCCTGACTTCGCCCCCAAAAGACACACACACACGCACACACACACACACTAACAACCAAGGGGTATAAAATGATACGTTAACCGATATATTTATTACAAATATTCCTTAAACTTACCACAGAAGCCTTATCTGGGGGACAAAACGCTCATACTCTTTACAGAACCTAAATTGGGGATACAAATACAAATGTTCCTGGTGTCACTGTGGCCTGTAGAATGATCACATTTGCTGCAAACTATCGACAGTAATCACGGTAACAAGTGTACTACCAAATGACCGTTCTTATATCTTTGCTTCTTTAGTGACTGCCACGGTGCCACCCAAATATATTGTGACCCGTGTTCTCTTACTTTTCTTCATACTTTAAAAAAAATGTACCAAGACATTTTTTTGAGGAGTTTCAACAATTCATTGCCGGAAAACTCACCAGAGGGCAGTGGGGCTCTTGGGTGTACAGCACATCTGAGGGATTCAAGTGGAATCTTTGGTCCCAGAAACTCTTTGATGGCAATATAAGACCTGAACTCTCTTGTCTATTATCATCCACACTACAGTCTGGTGTAATACCAAGCACTACCACACACTGCTGAACACTGCCGTGAATCACTGAACATGTACTATCGTGCACTAAGGTAAGTTATTGCAAACTACATCTCTCTATTTTCCCAACTGTCCCACCTGATACATGTACAGTAGTCTCATACTAATGTTTACTACACTCTAACAGTGGCTCTTTTTTCCCCTCACAGAAATAAGAAAAATGGACTTTATTCTTCAGACGAAGACTTTGATGAAGAGTTCTGGCAAGAGGAAAATGAAGAGGCGTGGGTGGAAGATGGGGCGGCGTGGGAAGAGGAGCAGGCGTGGGTGCTGGGATGGGTGGAGGAGCTGCTGGAGAGCAAAGTAGGTGTGGAGGGTCGATCCTGTGTACAGAGGTTCATCTGTGAGCTGCAGCACCAAGCCATCCACCAACACACCCTTCTAGGGGAAGTTCTTACCCTGATCTTCTCGTGAGTCCCAACTGAGAGCGAGGTGGTCTACCAGGCACGCATACACCAGACGGCTTACATACACCTTCACCAGGGCATAAGTACACATGCACATGGTCGTGGACATACACTCATGCTTGTATGAACACAAATACTCACCGACGCAAGTAAAGTCGTAAAACAGTACATAACACTTTATCGAAGCCTAACATATCCTTAATTTAAATACAACACCTCTTATCCAGCCCCAGAATCCCTCTGGGTGTTTAACTGAGTTACTGTAGACATGAATATATCAACAGGTGTGAAATACATCTTATACGGGTGGAGAATAACCATATTTTCTCTCCCACCCCCAGACCCAGGAAAGGCAGCAGCGGTGGACCCTTTCAACAGTACAGACTGGCACAGGAGGTGGGTCGCAACTTGTCACACATGGATGGTTGTGCTGATAAGTTCTACTTGTGCCCGCTCTCAGTGTTCAGCCTGTTAGGAGCAGGTCAGACGCCCAGGGGATCATAAGGGGCTTCTGGCAGCTTCGAGTACACCCTCACTTGGACGACCTGATGATTCCAGTTGAGGTTGAATCTCTGGTCAATTGAAGCCGGCATCCCCATGTCGACGGCCCACAAAGTTACTGAGTTCTTACATTCTCAGTTGGGCGGAAATTTAACTTTCATATCTTCAGACGACGAGGGAACATAACAGCTGGGATCTAAGTCCATGTGAACATTGGAATTTAGATTTGTTGAAATTCTCTAAAACGAATAAAGACATATGTCACCTTTCTCCATAATATATTATTATCCAAAAATCGATGATAATGAAAAAAAAATGCAAAAAAATCAATTAGGTTCCTCGAAATTAATCTCAGGGTTCAGAAGTCTTAAACAATATTCATTACTCAACTCTGGATTCTTTTTATATAATGAAACCTTGCTAACACGTCTATGTGAAGCGGATGACTTAACCCTTCAAATATGATGACTTAAACTCTTGAGTACGATGACTTAACCCTTTAATATAATGACAAGAAAACTATGACTTAACTAATTATTATTATTACTGTTATTATTATTACATTTTCCCCCCCAGGCCCCGATGTGGGTCAGTGACCTGTGCCCAGATGGGCTAATCCCCGTAAAAAAAGAAAGAAAAAAGTATGTCATTCAGGCTAGAGCCCCCTAAAGCACTGGAACCCCTAATGAACCTGACACTGGGCCAGTCACTTTACTCTTCCTGTATAATGTCCACATGACAAGTTTAAAAAAATCACTATTGTATATATCCTTATGACTGTGTATTAAGTGATAAAAAACCACCGGATACGTGACAAGTGGTGTACCGCAAGGCAGTGTGCTACGGCCCATGTTGTTTGTCTGTTTCATAAATGATATACGTACCAGATGCTACTCACTCTTGCATATATACAAATGTTTGCTAATGATACAAAGTTAATCTTGGAAATTAAATATCTAATGGACTGTGAAGTATTTCAAGTCTGGACGATCTTCATTAACTTAAGTGTAGTCACAAGGCTGGAGGCTGAGACTCAATGTGAGGAAATTCACGAGGATGTACAGTCCAGTATCTTGGTCGTACTAATATTGAAATGGGAAACCGCACCATTTTGTTCCAACGTGACGAAGATATTTCCCTATTTGAAACGAGAAGTGAGAATGGACTGAAGTTCTCAGATCATTGTGAATAAACTAGTTCTCAGATCATTGTGAATAAACTAGTTCTCAGATCATTGTAAATAAACTAGTTCTCAGATCATTGTGAATAAACTAGTTCTCAGATCATTGTGAATAAACTAGTTCTCAGATCATTGTAAATAAACTAGTTCTCAGATCATTGTAAATAAACTAATTCTCAGATCATTGTGAATAATCTAGTTCTCAGATCATTGTGAATAAACTAGTTCTCAGATCATTGTAAATAAACTAGTAGGAATGGTATGAAGATTCTATTAACTTCATACTTTGATGGTCCGTCTTTTAATAAGTCTTTTCGAAAGTGCTTCAACGTATGCAAAAGGATGCAAATTAACCTATAACGTCCAAAGGAGGGCTACCAATACGGAAATAGTTCATCAAAATTTACCATACAATATACTGTTGGCAATTTAATTCAATACTGACTACTGGTGAGGATTGCTTTTTTGGACGAGGTTTATAAGAATAGATTTTCGAGATATGAATCCATTTTGTTATGATTTCCAGAGTTTTTTTTCAGTTTTTTTATTATCTTGTGTTCATAGATTGAGTCTTGAGTCTGGTAATGTTTAAGATCTGTCACGAAATACAAGGGAAATTTCACGGCAGGAGAATTTTCAGGTTTAATGCACAAAAGCAGCACCTTTATTGGTATCAGAAATATGGTGTTTTGTTACTATATGTTCGTGCATTTACGAATTCTTTACTTTGTAGTTTAATTTCGGGTATACAGCACTAGTTTAGGTCAACAGTAATTTTTTACAGTAAATGGCACTTTAAGGGCGGTAATTGTAATGTCACTGAACTTTTTATATGTAACTGACTTTTGAAATTTACTTACCGGATATATTTTACATTTGCCCTGACAAATGTTTGGAAGAAATTTGCTTGCCTAGATTTGCTTACGGGAAATGTTAAATAAACACATTAAAACAATCAAATTCATTGTATGTATTAAATCATAGATCATTTGTGTCCGTGTAAATGATGTCAGTAGCGGTAACCCTTGTCTATTGATATCAGAACTTATCATGTTACCTCACGTCTACAACTTCTCAATTTGATGGTTCTTTTGAAATGTCGACGGCTTAGGGGGGAAAATTTAACGTAGGAATCTAATGTCGAGAATCCTGGAGGAACATCTTTACACCTGTCGTTCATTTAAATGTTTACAACTACAGGAAAAAGTTGTTTTGATTTTGTCTTCTTTCTTCATTCGTTCAAACAAAATTCAACTGTTTTCTAATATAAGTATTGTGAAAAGCTTAAGGGTGTAATAATAATAATAATAATAATAATAATAATAATAATAATAATAATATATTGTAGTCATGTGAGGCTTTAAATAAGACAATTCCTTGTGTAGTGCCACTTGTGTTGTGTTGTGCATCCCTCCGCCAAACCCAGGGATAATTAAAACCAATAATATTAAATAAAATACTAATGCAAATAAACAAAATAAAAACTGTCTTAACTTCGTATTATTCTAAGTTGCAATGAATGCAATTATAAATAACGTTTGTGCTCTTAGTTACTCGTACAGTACAATAAACATTGGCGCTGTTTTTACCGTTCCTTCCTTTACGCTTGGCACCTCGCATGTCTCTTTTTATTATTAATACTTATAGCAGTTTTTAGAATAATAAAACTATTATATATAACAATAACATAAACAATCAAAAACATTTCACTTCACATTCATCTACTGCTCACCGATTACCTGGTTATGACGTCACAAAATGGGCGGCGCCAATAAAAAGACACAACCTCACTGGCCCGGAGCGTGTCATGGGCGGAGCCAGTGTGGGAGATGTCAAGAACAGGTTAACTATCAGCGTAGTCGAGTTTCATCTCTCACTCTAGGTCCTCCTCGTGTCTTGGTCCTGACTGGTAAGTGTTACTTATTTACTTGGGAATATCTCTGACTAAAGCGTTACACCCTGTCTCCATTTACAGTACAATACTGGAAGATAACTGAGAGTGAACTGGGCGGCAGAGTGAAGCAACTTTGAGCCACTGTTAGGACCACTTGCTCCCCAGTTATTAGCAAGACTCAATACTACCTTTCTTGTTCGGTCACATGGTAGTCATTCGGTCATCAGGGATGAACATTTCCTCAAAAGGCTTCGCTTAGAAAGATACTCTCAAATACATGATCCCGAGCGCTAGTTTATCACACAGTATATTATGGAGTAACAACACAGTCAATATGACCCCGGCAGTATGAATTGTTTTAATATAACTGATAAGAAGAAATAAAACAGGAAAAATTAATAAGAGGAAACTAACTGAAGGAGGTAGATCATTAAGAGAAATAGCTTATCAATAAAAATACAGAGGACAAGTTCAGGCCAGGTGGGGGGGGGGGGGCGGGGCTAAGAGGCTCGTGCCCCCCATGGACGCATATGACTGTGTCCTTGTGGCCCTGTAACATGGATCCGTAAACAGTATTAGTTTACAGTCTACGTAATTTACACGTCCAGTTAGCATCTATGATAAACGATATGATTTACTCAAGCCAAATATGCACGAGGCCGGACCAGAATGGGCGGAGCCTGACTGCAATGTTACATACAATACATATCATTATATTTCTTTTATGATAGTTGCGTGTGTACGTTTGTTACTGTAGGTGGGTGTGTTTTCTCGTGTAGTACATATTTGACAAAGAATGCATAATATCATCTTTAAGCATGGCTCGGTTCCTGCTGCCGTGTCTAAACATCCACATTTTCTAAGGTGTTCTATGGTAGGCATTTAACAGTTAACTCAAAAAACCAGTAACTTGGGCCTAGTGTTACATATTACATTTATATGAAACGCACAATATACTGTACAGTACAAAGAGGAATAATTCACCTAATGCCACAATTACGGTGTGACGTGCAGCTTACATTAATCCAGGAAGTGAACTAAGCGAGTTAAATGGTGACCGTTTAGTGGCGAGGTGAGGGATGTTACAGTCTACTAATAAGACAATAGAACTTAATCTTGCAGCACTATTTTGTACCTTTAATATACAATCAATTGTTTAAACATTTATTTGAGTCAACAAGTCACCAATTAGCCCAACAATAATCACTACTGCTGCTCTGCGTTGATGATTTTTGTAATTGCATATTAATAATTATCTATCCTTTTCAGCTTAATGAAATTCTCTCAGTGCTGGAAACTGTGTCACTGTCAGAGTAAGAAGGGAACTGAGAGTCACTGTCAGGGTGGACACAACACCTCACCTGACACGGCCCCGAATACCCTCAGAGGACCTGGTCAACCCTAAACGAGATCTAACTTTACAGATAGGTGAGCGACAAACGGGAGAGTGCACCACTGCCACCTTGCCTACTGAATGCTTAGTATTCAGTTTGCTGTATCTAAACTACTCGTCAAGCCTATGAGACCCATCTTCCATACCAGTCAGCAACTTTTAACTAATATACTTTTAAGTGCAAATTTTTCTTCCTCCGCCTTCATTCTATTTTGAATTGGATATATGGGTAGATTTTGCGCACTTATGTACAGTACAGTTGGTCAAGCTTCCGCCTTTAACACCGAGTAGCGGATATGAGAAATGTGGCATGAGCGCGCGCGCGTGTGGGGGATTGCAGAGGATGGCAACAAGGAGGCTTTTCACGCCGACCTTGACAGAGTGCAAACCTACCTCTATCCCCAGAGAAGATAAGGTTGTGCTCCTTGGTGACTTCAATGCCAGAGTTGGCAAAGATGTTGACATTTGGCAGGTAACCATAGAGAGAAATAGACGAGGCAAGTGTAACCGAATGACAGAACACATATCGAATGACAATCTAAAATAACTGTTCGTTCATGCTAACGGAAGTGATTGACATTAGTTATGAAGTTGACAGACGTGAACAATAAACCGATAGTCTACATATAGTTTGAGAATGTAACAATTGGAGAATGACATACCACCAACAGTTATTTTAGATTGTCATTCGATATGTGTTCTGTCATTCGGTTATGAAATTTGTCAAATAGTGATGTAACAATGTCTCAACGGATATGTGAAAAGGTGTACTGTACCCTCTAATACATACTAAATAAGCAGACTAGAGTGCGGCTACACGTATTGCTGTCATTTAATGATTCATTCATTTGGAATAATTAAAATACACAAGTAGTGACTACTGACTAGTACTGACTAACATTCATCATGTAGTATTACTATGTGGTTATTAAATTAAGGTTTTATTATGATTTTCTCAAACATTATCACACACAACAGCCATATTATAACTTAGATAACGCAACACAGCTCATTCACTCTGACTCACACACACACACACACACACACACACACACACACACACACACACACACACACACACATTTCTCATATCCGGCTACTCCCAGTGTTATAAGGTGGAAGCTTGGCTAATTGTATGTTTGTACGTAGTGACCTCGATAGGTGTGTATGTATATAAGTGGTGTGTTGCAGGTGCTGACGGCGAACAGCGATGGAGGCGATGGACAGAATAGGAGAAGTGGTGCCCATAAAGCCTCTCTGGGTGATTCAGAACCAGGTACACTCACCCTACCTGCCCCCTCCACCTCACACTGAAATGGACACAGGTCACAGATCAGGGTCCAGGGAGTTCAGGGAGTAAGGTCAGGGGGGTATCGCCCTAAGGTCAGAGTCTGTAGAGTTTAGGCTCTGAAGACACTGGGGTTAAGGTTAATCTCTGAGACTAAGGAGTACAGAAGTAAATGTCCAGGGGTAAGGCGTGGAGTATGTGGTTATAAGTTAGGTTAGGACCCGAGACTTAGGACGGTGAATCACTGCAAGAGGTATAAGTCAAGCTGATGAGAGAGGGAGAGTGTCAAGGATCAGAGCTGCTGATTAGAACAATCTCTCAGGACCAAAGCTTCAGTAGTCTATTTTAAGTTTCATTAGCCCTCACACAGGTAGGACAGAGGTCCTCTACCACTCAAGTGTAGACTACTCTACAGTACAGCACAACGAAGTCTGTAAGGGCTCAGTATTAGGGATTTGTTAGGGGTGAGGGCCAAGTTTCAGAGTCACTGTTTGGTCTACACAACAGTAAGGTCTATATTAGGGTACAGGCAAGGGATGAGTACTAACCTTAAAGACCAGTCAGGGTCTAAGGCCATAGTAGTCTGCTTTCTTTGGTCCAGTGTAAAGTCTGAAATAGATAAGAACCAAGTATTAAAGACAGTTATAACTTCACCTCTCCTTAGTCTACAATAAAGTCTGCTCGGAGTGAGGACAGATCAGGGTTTAGGGTTACTATCAGGGGTCAGTGTTTGGTTGAGGGCTAGGGGCAGGGCCACACTACCGTAATCCCATTTGGTCTTCAGTTGAACCTGCCAGTGTATGTGGAGGGCAAGGAGAATGTGGAGCTGGTGACAACGGTGGTTTTAGTGATAAAGGTCGCCATCGAACTCAGCACCGTCTTCAACCCCGACCCCAGTGACGGCAGGTGAGCCACACTCATTAACGCACCTGTCTCTCTTTCCTCTTACAGGTGTGTGCGGTTTACAGCTTGGCAAGAGCGAATGACTGGCTATCACCACCACTAACCAAGGCACTTGTGAACCTTTCATGAACCTTCACTAAATTAAGCACTGCTGACAGCTTCTCCCCAACCAGCCCCACGAACAAAGGCACTTACTACTGCTGATCGTTCCTGAGAGAACTTTTTGGCGGTGTGTGTGAGAGGAAGAGACAGTGAAGACACGCAGACAGGTGAAGATGGGTGATCGGCCCTTGGTGGCGGCTGAAGTATTCTTCAACCTGCCCATCATGAACACGGCAGGCACCAAGCCCATTGCGGTCACCGGCCTTATCATCCCCGTCATCATCTTCCTCGACAAAATTCTCGGGGACAAGACCCAAATGACCGACTTCGGAGACTCTTCCTCTTATAGCCAAGACTCCAACTATTACTCTAAATATGACACCGCTGATCCTGCCTATTCCTTCGTCTCTGGCCAAGACTATTACTCAAATGACGCTGTCTATTCTTCCTATCCAAACAAGGGGCAACATTACTCTTCAGAGGGCACTAAGTATCCAAGTCCCTTCTACTCGACAGCCGGAGGAAGCCAACAGTTCCCTTACGCAGTATCATCATCGCCCGTAGTACTGGGCAACGCCAGGTACACACAATGAAGTAGGCTCTCCTGTGTTACACATGGAAATGTTAACTCTCGCGTGGTAATGGCGGCGATGGTGGCACTACTGGTGGTAAAGGTGTTGATGGTGGCACTACTGGTGGTAAAGGTGTTGATGGTGGCACTACTGGTGGTAAAGGTGTTGATGGTGGCACTACTGCTGGTAAAGGTGTTGATGGTGGCACTACTGCTGGTAAAGGTGTTGTAATATGTTTCTGTTACTTTATCCTCTTCATCACTTGTCAGCTTTCTAGTCGGTCGGGGGGTCGGTTAGTTCTCTGTTACCGTACACTTTGTTAGCAAGGACTGGCCCTGTATGAGTTCATGAATTTACCTGACTATGTCCCGGTGTTTGTCAAGCCTGTACTTAAAGGAATTCACACTTGGTATTGTCACAACATTGTCCAGTAGGTTATTCCAAGAGTTCACAGCTTATTTAACTTGCGGCTTTGACCTCTTGTGGGACGGCCATCCTCTGTCTTCTGATATTTGTATTTCTTTTTATATTGTAGACGTTCTGAGGCTCTGTTGGTGAGTGAGGTGACTGAGTGCCGGCACCACTTTGGTAACCCTTCTCTGGACGTTCTCTATCAGTTGAGGCTGCGGTATTATTGCAGTGCACCAAGTGAGACAGCGCTATACTTCATTAGATACTAACCATCTGAGTGTGTACGGTAGAGCATCTTTGTATTAAACACCCATATATCTAATTTCCGTTAGGTGAATTATCTTCGTTATATTGTGGCACGTATTATGCTACCTGACAATTAGTACGATCAAAGTGCATCCCCCTGCATTGTGCTTGAAGCCGATAAAAATCCCTTAAAAATGCAGGAGCAGGCGTCCCCATAACATCTAACCATTAAACCAGCATCAATCAGAGTACCGTCCTCATATCTGAGGGTTGGCGACTACAGTTCTCCATTCTAAACATTCTCGGGCTGTTTTTACCAATCGTCTAAGGGTTTTTTTTATCTCTCTGGGGACACAGTTTTTAATTTAATTCATCCATCCCAGTTAATGCCTTCCCCTGGCCCTCCTACCCTCAACTTTGCCCATTATTATTTCTGTTATTAACCCGTCACCCCTAATAATATAACCAAAGTATTTAAGTTTTTTCTTTTTCTGTTAATATCTCTTTGAATTTTTACTAACGTTAGTACTTTTTCATTTGTTTTCTTGTCACTGTAACTTATTTCTAACATTTGCCTATAACACCACATTTCGAAGGCCTCCAACCCCTTTCTGGTGTCTTCCGAGTCCACGCTTCTGACCCATACACCAGTCCTGACCATATACCTATAGCCTCTCAGCAGCCTTTTTTCTCAAATTGTAGTTATGCCTCTTTTTAGTGTATTTCAGTTACCTACCATAATTCATATTTTACGTTACCTACCATAATTCATATTTTACGATCTATTTCCAATTTGGTAACAACAATTACTTTCGTCTTTACAGCATTATCTCTCAAACAATATTCTTCGCCCTTTTCCACTACAGTGTTAACCAAATTTTATAACGCCTTTTCACTATCCGTGATAAGAGCAGTATCATCTGCGAAGAATATAATTGATATTACTTTACCATTAACTTTTATTGTTTCATTGTTGCTCAGAACTCCTCTCAATAAGAAACCTGAATATATATTATACAATGATGGAGATAAAACACAGTCTTGTTATACTCCCTGTCTTACTGTGAACCAATTAATAAAATCATTATTTACTTACACTGCAGCCTCCTGTTGCCACTAGGGATACTTTTTTTAGAATTGTCATAAACATTCATAATTCACCACCATCACCATAACATCAACACAGCACCTCCACCAACACCACACCAACACAGAACCACCACAGCAACACAGCACCTAAACCACTACATCAACACAACACTACCACCAATATTCTGGACATAGGCACAGCACAAACCATTAACATCACCACATAAACAAACCACATCCCATAAACACACCACAACTTCACATCATGAACACACCACAACCGTCAACACCAACATCTCAAAATTTGGTCGAGGATGTGGGAGTGACCCGGTACACGTTGAGCTCTGAGGTGCACCATCCACCATCACGTGACTTGGATGAGACGCCAAGAGACCTCAATCTTAATAGGCCCCATATCTAATAGGCACTATGTCTAACGGGTCCCATTCCAAATTCTAAATATACCAACTTTCCCACAACTTAACCTAACCCTTGAAACTGGAGGCCAACAAGATTAGGGACCTTACGCACCTGGGCACATTAGCAATGGGATCTATAAGAATTGAGGCCAATTACGATTACGGCATATTTGACCAGTTACCCATGGCCTTGTGCAGGAGCGTGGGGCTGGACCAGGCGTCACTGTACCAGCACCTGGAGGGATCGCTAGCGATCGTGGGGCTGGAGGGTCGAACCTGTCTCCTGAGACTGGTGTGTGACGCTCAGAGCCCAGCACTTCTTCGACTGAACCTCATGGGGAGTCTTCTGGCCGCCATCTTCACGTGAGTCCGTGTGTGTGTGTGTGTGTGTGAACAAAGTGTAGGTCTTCATGCCAGTTATTTCTAAGGGGAAATAATAATGATCGCGAAAATATCCAAGGTTCGTAAGACGAATATTTCTTATATGTGAAGATTTAAGATATTAGAATGCACCTAACAGGTTGACTTAACCAGATTACAGAATTAACTTCCAGAAATAACATCATAATTACACCCAAGGCTCTACCTAAAGTAGATACGTTCACTTTACACCAGTTGGGGCACACTATTAGTCTTTCCCAGTATTCTGGAACTTAACTTTGTCGCCTCGCGTAAAAATATCTAATGTAAAATTTGTGTAGTGATAATGTTATTTCTGTGCTCTAGCTTGAGTCAACCAAGAAGGAACATTCCTTAATCTTCATATGTGAGGAATATTCATCGTGTGAACTTTTTGATATAGGCACAAGCTGCGGCTGAGTGGTCAGTGAACTTGTCAAAGATATCAAGTTTTCTGTTTCAAGCTGCCACGTTGGCGACAATGTTATGAAAAGTTGCACTCTATGAGAAGTTCCACTTAACCCTAATCATGCATGGAGAGAGAGAGAGAGAGACTAAGTGACATTAATGCCCTGTCAACAGACCGCGGGAGGAGGCGGTGATGGAGGAGTACAAAGAAGCGGCGCGGGTGGGTCGTGCACGAGAGAGCTGCGCCAAACACTACCCCTCCTGCCCCTTCTCCATCTTCAATATCTTCAATCCCAAAAGGAACTCCCAAACCTCCAAGCCTTCCCTGACCTCCAAGACCTCCAAGACCCCCACACCCTCCCATGATAATTGAAAGGATAAACCCGACTGACTCACTCTCTGATTGACCGATTCTTTCACTCACTCCCTGACTGTTTAAATGACTGACTTATTGATATTCTATTCTACGACCAAATGGGTAACTAGAGTGTCTGATTCACTGGTAATCTACATACCTGTCTGTCTCTAAGTGGCTAAACAACATGTATTCTGTATATCCGTCTGTCTGTTTATCTATGTATACTGGATCTCATAGACTGTATTCTTTACATAATACTGAAGCCCTTATTGTATACTGAAGCCCTTATTGTATACTGAAGCCCTTATTATATACTGAAGCCCTGACTGTATACTGCATAAATTATTGTGTACCGAAACCCTTATTTTATGATTAAATTATTGTATACTGATGTCCCTATTGTATACTGAAGCCCTTATTGTGTACTGAAGTCCTTATCGTAAACTGAAGCCCCTTATTGTATACTGAAGTCTTCATTGTATACCGAAGTCTTCATTGTATACTGAAGCCCTTATTGTATACCGAAGGCTTCATTGGATACTGAAGCCTTATTGTATACTGAAACCTTCATTGTATACTGAAGTCCCTCGGAGTTCCTACACCCGAGCTCCTCAGTGTTTACACAACATTCATACTTCCCAAGCTCACCTATGCCTCCCCCACCTGGTCTTCCTCCCTAAATGCCACACAACGTAAACACCTAGAAAAAGTGCAAAAGAGGGCATGCAAGATTATTCTCTCCCCTTCCTACTCCACATATCAAGAAGCGCTCGACACACTGACCCTTTCGACTCTCACTGACCATCACCACGACCTCATCTGCAAATTTGGTAAGAAGCTTCTACACCATCCTCGACACCGGCTCCTACTACCACCTGAGATCCCTAGCCCGAGAATTGCTGTTCGACACCACAACCGCATCCAGCCCATACGTGCACGAACTGATCGCTATAAGAACAGCCCAGTCCCAACCATTGTAAAAATTATCAATAACTTGTAATAGACCAGTGTATTCACTCCCAGTAAACACTACTCCTTGCACTGTCACTATGTTGAAATGCACTGTAGTTTGAGCTTTTCCCCATCTAGTTATTATATATCTTATTTATATCACTTATGTTACTTGTATATTATTTGTAATTCGAAACCCATTCCCCAAATATGTAACTGTATATTTTCAGCCTTCTGGCTGCCAAGTTCTTTCAATAAACTGTTAATTATTATTATTATTATTATTATTATTATTATTATTATTATTATTATTATTAAGCCTTCATTGTATACTGATGCCCTCATTGTACAGTATACTGAAGCCTTCATTGTATACTGAAGCCCTTATTGTACACTGATGGTGCAGTTGGCCCATGCAAGGCAGCTTCTACTCATACCCAACCATTCCACTCATGTATAAGTACCATACAGTACAGTACAGTACATCCTATAGTTGTAACTTTCCAACATTTTTTTTTTGCTTTCTAATGTTATCTGGTAACTTCTTCCCCTCGTCTACAACTATTTCCGAGCTAGTATTTGCCTACTTCATTCTTAAATCTAAATTTCTCCAATTTATTTTTACGAGTTAAGTCTTGATCTGATAGTCAAACGGCAGTAACCCCTTCACTACAGGATGACACTTTTAGTATTCCATTCGGCTAACACCAGGCGATTTTATTCAGCACAGAGAGAGCCCTGGTACCCAAGGGTGTTAAGTACTTTGTTTTTATAACTTTTTCTTAACGCAATCTTCCATCTGTACATTTAGATGGTATCATTTATTCTACGCCCCTCAAAAGAATGCAATGTCTATCTTTTTAATCTCTATGGGAGGTTCCTAATGGCCAGGACTATCGCTATCACCCTTCTTTAAATGCCGTAAATAGAATTTATGTTCATTCTGTAGAACGGTGAGCAGCTATAATTCAAGTGAGGCCTCATTAACTTTAGGTAAATGTTGTAAAGTAACATTAAATTTTGTACTCCTGTTATTATCGCCCCCGGATATAAATAATGACACTCAATTTGCCTTATTTCCTATATGAATACAGTACATTGTTGCCTTGGTTTCTGGTCCTTATTAATGATTACCCTAAAATCAATCTCATTTTTGGATTTCTCTATATCAACAATCTCGAACTTGCTCTAAAAATTTATCGCCTCAACCTTACAACTTTACATTTCTCATTATTAAATTAAATTACTCTTTCCATTTCGTGGTCCATATTAAAGCATATTAGGTGTTGTAGCATTACTATAATGATAAGTGTTCACCTGAATTAGGTATATGCCTTCATTTATGTGTCACCAGTTGTTGGTATCAATGTGTCAACATTAACATAAATGTGTTTGCCTGGAAGTGTGTGAATGTGCGCCGCAGGAACTAAAACTCTCATGTACTGTAGTGTTTGTTAAATACCGTTTTTCCCAAGACTTCACCTCTAATTACTGTAACTCTGGGAATAAGAAAAAATCTTAAGTTTGATTTGTGAATATGATGACTTGATAGTGTGATCTGTAGACTAAAGAGAAGCTTTTGAGTTACCTGGAATCACTCGCTCAATCCCATGAAACTTGCCAAGAAACATTAAGAGGATAAACAAAGTCTGTTTTATTGGAGCTGGCGACGGCAGCAACCATGTCAAGCCCACTGATAGGTTTACACACACACACTTTCATAAATGCATCCACTTAATTTTCCCGTTATAAATGATAACAAGTTTATCAGCAAATATTTATATAATTAAAGTATCAGGAAATAGGGGTGTCTACCTCCTTAATCGTGAACTGCATTGTTGGAAATTAAAAAAGAGTCAAACTTTGAAGCTTACTGTATGCTGCAGGCCTGAGCAAGACCCGTGTATGTGGCTGAATGACCCTGGGTTTTCCATTAAGAAGGTGAAGCTAGTTCCCAAACCAGGGTCAGTGGTAGTAAGTTTACTCACACAGATAGATGCCCTAATGCCCTCCTGATGTTGCTTCAGTGTCCCCAACGGAAGAAGGAAGGGAAAGAAAGGATGAAAAGAGAGAAGTGGAAGAGAAAGGTCAGACACTTTGTAAGGCGACAAGAGTTTACGCTTAATGGCACGGGGGGTGGAGCTCCACAACTTAGGCCCAAAAATATATTAAATGACACAAGAGCTCCAAAAATTAAGAGCCAAAGAGGCGACAAGGGTCCCTACTCCCATGAAGTCACTACCCTGACAAGCACAAATAGTTAGGAGTGGAACGCCTTCGTTACATTTCTCTAGCATATCAAGGTTTGCAAAGAATCATAAATTGAATATCTTAGTGACCGGACAACGTTGTGGACAGATGTAAGGAACTGTATCAAAAGAAACAAACATTATTACTATTGTGATGCATAGTAAGGAAACTGAACTCCTTTCTTTGTGTTAACATTTGTTGCATAAAATCCTTCAGTATGTTAATCGAAAAGGTTTTGAAACGTGATTCCTATTCTGAGAGTCTCGGTGAGTAACAGTACACCGTCCAACAGAACGTGGCTGCTAGTCTTGGTGGTGTCCTGCCTTACAATATATACCCGTCACCTCATCACTATGCCCTGACGGCCTCACTCCCTTAGCTCCCTTGAGAGGGAGTCCTGTACTTATTATACGTGATGTTATGTTAGATTTTATCCTAACACCATAGCCACGGTCGCACGCATCTTTAACTCACTACAGTACCAAACCCCATAGTGTTGGTATAAATAATGGAGCCATATTTCTAAGTATTTTGACTTGATTTTTCTGATTCTTTACGACGTTTATCCACAGCATAAAATATCCATAACTTATATTGATTATTTTTGGTACGTGCGCGTTAGTGTTCACAAATTGTCTGTAAGACGTTCAACTGCTCTTCCCTCCGCACGATGTTCCGCCTTCCCCAAACCTTTCATCTCCCGTCTCATAACACTCCGCCTTGGACGCCAGCTTCTCTCACTCTCACTTAACACCCTCTTCTCCCCGCTGTTGTCATCACTTATACATGAACCCCCCTCCCCATATACCAGCCCCTGCCATCCTGTAAACAATAATTTGTATCTTCACTTTATGTTCCATTTCCTTATTGTAATGAAAGCTTTTGATAGACGTCCCTCTACTACATGTCACTGGGTGTAATACTCGTATGTCCTTTCTGTCCATTGTACTCGTATATTCATTGTATAATTTCAACCTTTTGGCTGCTGTACCCTTTTCAATAAATCGTTATCATTATCACCATTACTATTATTATCATTATCATTATTATTATATACGGGTATGTTGTTGCCTACTCTAATATCCCTCTCCAACCCGAGCTGAGACAAGCCCCGCCCCCTAACAAACACACACACACGCACCACTGGACTGCCACACTCATTCTTAAGACAGGCGCATCACAGAACGGAACACCTGGGAGTCTGCCGCCAGCATGTCGGTGTCGCCATTATCACTAACGCGCCCCATGTACAACCTGCAGAACACATTCGCGTTCAACTTTGACACAGTGGGCCAGGACGGCCAGGCTACTAGTAGGTCCCTGGCCGCTCTCATAATAATCGTCCAAATCTTCCTTGACCACTTCCTCGATAAGGTGGAGAAGGGTCGGTGAGTCACGTAACTTTATAATGAGAAAGATCCTCCCATTCTCTATCTCTTTTCATCGGAGTATAATTCCGACTGTGCAGAATTATGTGCAACATTTACTTGTCCCGGCCAAGTGACCTTTGAAATTTACTTTTTTTTTACTCGCGTTGACAAATTTTGGAAAAAAATTTTGCTTGCCCTGATTTTTTTTATGGGAAAAGTTAAATAAACATCTTAAAACATTCAAATTTATTATGTGTATTAACCGACAGTCAAGAGATCACTTGTGTTCTTAGTGGTAACAGTATCAGTAACCCTTGTTATAAGTCCTGTCACTTCACCTCACACCTACAGGGTGTCTGGGCGTCAGTGGTGGTACTTGTCATGTGAGGTCACAACTCACTTCTACAGCCTCTCATCTTGGTGGTTCCTTTGAAATGTTGAGAAGTTGAATTGACTGTTTAGAGGGAAGTTGTAATGTAGAGGTAAATTACCTGCACCTGACATAGGTCACTAGTCCTGGTACACTGATGACCTCCCTGGTTAAACATGTATGGGGAGGTGGGGTCACGCAGCGCCTGATAAATTCCCTCGGCATTTATCTCTCAAAAATATTAGCTTGTCAGCCGGGCAAGTGCCAGGCACATGGACATGAAAAATTACTTGCCAGGCCGCTAGACCGGGGATGCTAATCTGCACAGTGTGTGTGTGTGTGTGTGTTGTGCTGAACTATTCATTTATATCTATTATGATGATGTTTATAATCGTTTATGACCAGTTAAATGTTCCGAAAAAGTTAAATACAGTACACAGAAGTTGTCGGTAATCGCCATTTATCCCAAATTAATATAACACACAAATATATATATATATATATATATATATATATATATATATATATATATATATATATATATATATATATATATATATATATATATATATATATGACCTTTATTGATCTGTAATGACCTTCCTTAAGACTAAACTACCTATCTTTCACGACCTATGATAACCTTATAAATCTTGATAACCTTTTATGACATGTCATGGCCTTTACTGACCCTTAAATGACTTGGGTGTGACAGGAGCTACAGCGAGGATCAGGTGGAGGTGTACGAGAGCCTGGCGTCCAAACTAACGAGTCAGTTTAAGGTGGAGGGACGCGCCTGCATCTTCCGTTTCATCTGTGAGCTGCAGCAGCATCCTATAGGTCGTTGGACGCTGGCCGGACACCTCCTCACTCTTCTCTTCACGTGAGTACTGTCTAGCTGTCACTGAGGAGATTGTATAATGTAAGACAAACTCATCTATCTTGGTCTCACCTGACCTAGTTCAACTCAACAGGATCCAGTATTAGGACATAATATACGAGTTGGCAGCGGTTTGGTCCAACGTCACAGAAACACCATCACTGCTGGAGCGCTGTAGTAATACATTATAACAGCTGAACAGAACGGTTATATTCTCCGTTCTCAGCGCCGACTCCTTTTGCTAATTTGTAACTGTTGTAAGAGTTAGACCTGGGAGTGACGACTGCCTGGGGGCCACGAAGCTCTCTACGGGGGGATAAAAAATGAACCCCAGATTGTGCCAAAAGTTGATTTAATGACGTTAATGAGGATAACGATATGGCACATGAGGGATTTCGCAATATCATAAATGGTGTGGAATCAAGGGATCATCTTTTCGGAACTAAAGCTGTTCAGGTTCTACTGTTTTATGATCCTTTGTTATCCCCAAAACGTATCTGTGCCGAACGGCGTTTTCCACCCTTCCTGCATGAATAAGTTGCTTAACCCGTGGTGTTGTCTTGCTGTGACTCACCCAGAACTGATCGTCTGGTGAAACAGAAGCTAAGTATGACCATCCCACTATCTGATGTAGCAGCAAAACTATCGTTTTGTAGACTTATACTTATTTTCAGTACACCATGTATAATCAATAAACATAACGCCCGTGAAACTAGGCCCTATGGGCATGACTGCCCGTCAGGAAGTGTGGATACAACGTACCATATACTGTACCCCTCCGTCGCTAGGGCGTGGTTACAAGACAGGAAACAGTCAGTATTAATGGCACTAAACCCGTTTGGGGTAACGTCACTAGTGGAGAATCCTAAGGCTCAATACTTGGGCCATTACTATTTATCATATACATAAGCGACATACTGTAGATATAGGCGTAGACAGCAGCATAAATAAATTTGCTGACGACACTAAAATAGGGCGTGTAATTAAATCTGACGAAGACTTCGCAAAACTACAAGATCTAAAAAAAAATTCGCATGGTCTGAAAAATGGCAAATTAAATTTAATGTGGACAAATGTGAAGTACTTAGTCAAAGAGAAGTAACCAGAGAAACCAGATATCAGATGAACAACGTTGATATAGAGAAATCCAACTGTATGAATCGTAAACCTAGACAACAATGCGTAATTTTCTCGAAACAGGGCAAACAAAGTACTTGGGTTCATACAAAGGAGTGTTAGTTACAAGACTAGCGAGGTTATCCTAAAACTATATCTGGCGCTTGTGAGACCACACTGGAATTACGCAGTTCAGTTTTTGGTCACCGTATTACAAATGTATATCGAATCCCTAGAAAGCATACAGAGGAGGATGACAAGACTAATCCCGGACATTAGGAAACTTGAGTAAAGAGAACAGCACTAGGATCCCGCTTCCTCTATCATGGAATAAACAATTGAAATTGAATTGAGTATAGAGACAGGTTAAAGCATCTTAATTTGCACTCCCTCGAGAGACAGAGTGAGGGGCGATATGATCGAGGTGTATAAATGGAAGTCCGGGCTAAATAAATGCGATATAACAAAGGTACTCAAACTATCTAACCAGGAGCGAACTCGTAGGAATGGTTTTAAATTAGACAAGATAGGTAAACATTGGTTTGGAAATAGAGTAGTGGACAAGTGGAACAAGTACCAAACATCATCATTAACTAGAACACGTTGGATAGCTTCAAATATAAGTTGGACAGATATATGGGCGATAGGGGTTGGGTGTAAACGGGGCTGCCCAGTAGGTGTCAATAGGCCCGCTGCAGTTTCCTCCATTATTATGTTCTTATGTACACGGTAGCGTAGCCAGCACAGCACAGCATTATTGGTAGTAGGTAGTAGGCATCTATCAAAGAGGGAGGTACTACCGCCTGAGAAGATATTGGAAGCATAATGTGTTGTCTAATGGTAGACCCTGCTGCCATATGGCATCACGAAAATTGTGACCAAGTCCCAGGTTGCTGTTCTGACTTTCTGCCTCATTTACACACAATTGCAGGGTCTCAATTGTTTTTCTTACCATTGACAACACAACACAACATACATATATTGTTCTCACTAGTTATTTTATTATTATTATTATTATTATTATTATTATTATTACAGTGTTATTGTATTTTTAATATAAATTTTTATTTACGATGAATTATTATTATTATTATCATTGTTATTATTAGTAGTAGTAGTAGTAGTAGTATTACATCCCCACAGGTCCCGATGTGGGTCAGTGACCTGTGCCCGGGTGGGCTAATCTCCTTTAAAAAAAAAAAAAAAAAACAGTCTTCACCTCACCTACTTGTACAGTTCAGTATCCACTTAGAGCTAAATGGCCAGGAGGCGAGCGCTGTATCCACTCAGGCGGATCCCCTTAAGATCCTGTTTTGCAAATGCCTGGAAAAGCAAAAGGTCCCCGTTGACTGGAAAATGGCTTGTGTGAGTCCTATATTGAAGAAGGGCGATCGTCACTCCACGAATACTTATAGACCAGTGAACCTGACCAGCATAGTATGTAAAGTACTTGAAAGCATCATAAGAGATGCCATGGTGGAACATCTACTACGAAACAACCTTGTAAAGGATTGCCAACACGGTTTTATGCCGGGACACTCCTGTTTGACATATTTACTCAAGGTCCTAGATTTGGGGACTGAAATTCTAGCACTAGGCGGAAATATCGACAATATATACCTAGATTTTGCCAAGGCTTTCGACAGCGTACCCCATGAAAGGCTGAGAATTAAGTTGGAAGGGTACAGGAGTCGGGGAAATGTCCTAATGTGGATCGGAGACTTTCTGCATGACCGCAATCAGTGTATGATGATTAATGGTACGAAATCGTCATGTGTACCTGCGACAAACGGGGTACTACAGGGCAATGTATTGGGCCCGTTGTTGTTTGTTTGCTTCATAAATGATATGCCAGAAGCTATACACTCCTCCATACAAATATTTGCAGACGATGCCAAATTATTTAGGGAAATTAAGAACCAAACAGACTGTGAAGAGTTACAGAAAGATTTCTACGAGCTCCAAGAATGGTTGAAGAAATGGCTGCTGAGATTCAATGTTACGAAGTGCAAGAGGATGCACCTGGGTCGTACCAACAATAAAGAGGCGTATCACGTGTCTCAACAGGACGAAGAAACTGCATTAATTGAGATTGAATGTGAAAAAGACCTGGGTGTGTATGTCGACAAGGAACTTAAGTTCTCGGGCCATTGTGAGAAGAAGGTGAATCAGGCAACGAAACTAGTAGGTCTTATAAAAAGGTCGTTTAGTTATCTGGATGGTCTGTCCCTCGTCACGATCTTCAAGAGTGGGATGTTTCCCCGTCTGGAGTACTGTCACCTCGTCTGGTCCCCAAGGTATGCTAGACACTGTCAATTGATTGAAAATGTCCAAAGGAGGGCCGCCAGACTGGTGCCTGCTCTACGGAACCTCAGCTACACAGAAAGATTAGAACGTCTGCAACTGCCTAGCTATACTACAAACGGGCAAGGGGCGACCTAATCGAAGTGAATAAACATCTCAGAGGGCACCACTCGGTCGAATGTACTGTACATACCTGGAGCTGGCGGACGCCCGCCCCACAAGGGGTCACAGCTCAAGGTTGAAGAAGCCACAAGTCCAGAAAACAGTGACGGCAGACTTTTTCGGAGTGAGAGTTGTGAACTCTTGGAACAATCTGCCAGAAATTGTGACGGAACCGAGTGTGAGCTCGCTCAAGGCCAGACTTGACCAACACTGGAGCAGGTTCAGGTACATTCAGGAGCCAGTGCATGCCCAGTACTTGCCAACAGTGCGTAACAGAGACGTAACCGATCGCCCAGGCGGCTAACGAGCCGATCAATGGTGAAGAGGATAAAAGTAAAGTAAAAAAAAAGATTAAATATTATCTTTAAAAAAGTTCCTGTTATGTCTGTATATCTCCCAGTTACGTGAACTGTATCGCTGACTGATGCTTACAAAATAATTGTGTTCTGCAACAAGTTTTGTACATATACCATTAAATCCCAGCCAGGGTTTCTGCCTTGTAAACTTGGCTCTTACACATTGATCAACGATAAGAGTAAACTGACAGGTGCACTTGCTGATGGTGGAACAACCCTTCAGTGAACTAACATCATGTACTCGGTACATGGTAGGCCCACTTAAAAGCTTGCTCAACCCTCACTCAATTATCAACGTTGTCCTGTATGCTAAAGGGAGTGGCCCAAATTTTACCTTCGGGGGTTTAATCAAACCCTGGAGGCAAGAGAACGCTGATAAAAATATCACCTATTATCTGCTACTACCATACTGACCTTACATATTTTATAAATAAAAATCATTCACAAGTTTTATAAATAAAAATATAAAGAAATGTTAAAAGTAGCAACATGAACAGTTGTACTAACTGTTTCAGAAATTTAGTTTATACAACACTAAAATCTAAATGGGAAGGGCAAGTAGGATGTGGTCACCAAACCTGGTGCCTTGGTAAGTTGACAAACACCATCAGTGAACAATGTATTTGTATTTCTGATTTTAGTAAAAATTAACCCCTTCAATCTTGCTGAAATCAAACATAAACTAGTTTTTGGTGTTCTCAGTTCACAGAAGGCGTGAAGATCAACAACATATCCATAATTACAAGCACATTCAAACGACAAATATTCTAAAAAAAAATCCCCCAAACTGCTAGTTTAATGGCAACTCTGCTCTTAATATCTATAAAAAATATGAAAGATTATCAACGAAAACCAAAGAAAAAGGACGTAATTGTATTAATAGAAACTTTGTCGTTGCAGTCCTCGTGTTGTTGAGAAGGATGGCGATGCAGAGCTGTTGAAGGAGTACTTGGTGGCTCAGGTTCTTGGCGAGAAGGAGAACGTCGACTGCGGTTCTCTGTATGGCTCTTGTCCCTTCAGTGTCTTCAACTACTTTGATTCTTTCCCAAACACAACTTCTACCGCCTACACCGGTGAAGAGGAGAATATTCTGGTGTTGTGAAGATGATGATATAGAAGCTCTTAGTGCCTTCGGAGTATGTCAGGTAGTCTTTATTCAGAACAGTTGAATCACTTAAGAATAGTATTTAATACTCCTATTCAGTAAATATTAATCCTATGACTTAATTTACATAAAATTTATGTTTATTTCACTAGTGTTCCTAAAAATTATAAACTGCATAGAAGAGAACCAGCCAGGAGTAACCCATATATACGAGCACACAGGCTTTCCTAGGGACTTCCCTGTAAACCCCCAAGCCATGGTGATTGGTGGTAACCTAAAGATGTTTCACTCCCCCCATGACCACTGTAGCTTAAAATAAGAGATGAAGTGATTAAGAGATCACTGCTTGACTTAAGACATGACAGTGTGACGGGTCACGACACTACAACTCATTCTCCTGACTGCACAGGTAGCATCCCATTTAACAATACATTGTAAATCAGATTCACTGTAACAACCCCTCAAGGACTTCCCAGAAGGACAAGTGAGATAAAAATCAAACCGTCACAATGGGTCACCTCGGAGTGACCCGTGAACCAAAAGCCAACAATCACAGAGAGAAGAGGCAGAAAGACGCTCCAACGACACACACCACAAAGGAAGTTTACTTCCTTTTACAAAAAGGGAAGCAAGCTCTCACTTTACAAGCTTTCCATTACTTATGCAGAATTCCAGTGTTCTCCCAAGTTACGGGAAGGAATTCTTCACCATAATGAAGATGCCTTAAAATTTTTACCTATACAATATATATATATATATGTATATATATATATATATATATATATATATATATATATATATATATATATATATATATATATATATATATATATATATATATATATATATATATATATATATATATATATATTTGAGTAATGGTATGTACAAACTGGATAATTTCGTAATTAAGAAGTTTTGTAACCAGGTGAGAAGGTTGGGTCATCTTACCCTCTGACCTGACTACTGACTGCTGCGGTGCTTTTTGAAGATTAGTAGGGTCACTACCTAATAACCTGACCATTGTGGACTTAATCTCACCTTCCTATACTGTATGTATATATGCCTTGTTATGTATTTCTCCTCAGTCTGTAGTCACCCCTGAAGATGTGAATTACACGAAAGCGCTTGGGAACTTCGTGTTTTCTTTTTTCCTTGTGGTTATCAGCATATACCTCGATCACGCGCACCTACAGTGATTTACTTGCATATATATATATATATATATATATATATATATATATATATATATATATATATATATATATATATATATATATATATATATATATATATATATAATTCGCATGCAATGCTATGAATGACAAGTCATTGCTATTACCCGTTTTGACTGTGATCCAAAATTCTACTCTCTTTTTTTAAGTTTTTCTGACATTTCTTGCTGAAGCATCAGGTTTACATTTAGTCACCTGGGTGTTATAATTGCAACATGAGGAAAATTCTACAAACACTCCCTGGTAGTTTTCTCCAGTGCTCCCCAGAAACACATCACAAACTTCAGGATAGTAGTTTTAAGTCAAGCCTGATCAAAACTATGGGCTAATTTGTGATGCCTCCAATCATCAGTACAATAACCACAATCACTCGGGAGATCATCTCACTCATAAGTATACAGTAAAGGTAGTGTTTCATTCCTCTGCTTATTAGCTATTAACCTCATTAATAACACTATAAACCAATCAGAATTTTGTTCTTCGATATATTGCAGTCAGTACTAGGCCAACTCTTGTTCATAATCTACATAAACGATCTAGATACTGGGATCAGCAGTGACATAAGCAAGTTTGCGGATGACACCAAAATAGGGCAACAAATTAATTCAGGGCAGGATGCAAATGCACTACAGGAGGGCCTAAATAAACTGCAGGGGTGGTCTGAAAAATGGCAAATGAAATTCAACACCAGCAAGTGCAGGTAGCAAATATTGGAGAACAATACTTATAATGTATGTATAACAACACATCAACCTGAAAGTCGACTTATAAGAAAGAAGACCTAGGGAATTATATAAGCCGGACCCTGCCTAGAAAACAGTGCGTTAATGTTCGAAATAAGGCAAACAGAGTATTGGGTTTTATATCTAGAAGTGTAAGTAACAAGAGTGCAGAGGTCGTATTGCAACTATATCTTGCGCTAGTCAGGCCGCACCTCGATTATGCGGTTCAGTTCTGGTGCCCCTATTATAGAATGGATATAAATTCACTAGAGTCGGTGCAGCGAAGAATGACAAAAATGATTCCGGGACTTAGAAGCCTTCCATATCAGGATAGGCTAAAGAAACTTAACTTGCATTCCCTAGAAAGACGAAGAGTGCGGGGAGATATGACAGAAATATTTAGGGTGAAAGGAATAATAAGGTGATATAGATAAAAGTTCTTATAATATCCGGCAGGATAGGACTCAGGCAACGGATTCAGGATTGGATAAAGTTTAGGTTTGGGAGGAGATAGGAAAGAAACTGGTTCACAAATATAGAGATTGGTGGACTGAGTGGAACAAGCAACAACTTTGTAGTAAGTGCGGGAACTCTGGAAAGTTTTAAAAGGAGGCTAGATAGATTCATGGATGATAGAGAGTGGTAGTAACTCTCGACAGGAGCTGCCATGCACAGGCCAACCGGCCTATTGCAGACTCCTTATTTTCTTCTTATGTTCTTATATCCAACTGCATTGTTTGTTTAATTACAAAGTTGTTTTTGTATAATCTTCCATTTTTATGATAATAAATCTAGTCGGTTAACAAAATATTTTTTATTCTAAACCACACATACATACATACGAGTACATAGGTGAAAATAAATCATGCTGGGACCCGTTAAAAAGTCGATCCCAACAAAGTGAAAGATTACAGGGAAATAGTATTAGGAATGATGACAAAACTAAATTAGACAGGGAGTTAAAACCTAAACGCGGTAAAGAGAGGACTCAGAACACGACTAACTTAAATATCTACTCCGCGAACAGTAGAAGTATGAGAAACAAAATGGATGATGTTAGGGTCTTGGTATGTACCGAAAAAATCGATATAATAACATTCACCGAAACATGGATCAACCTAGACTCACGTGAGTTACCAGTCGAATACCAAATTGCGGGTTACAAATTGTTCCATACCGATAGGCAGACCAGGAAAGGAGGAGGAGTAGCAATCTATGTCAGGGATAATCTGAAGTGTGAAATAAATAAGGAAATAAAAACTGAGCAGAATACAGAAGCAATTTGGATAGAATTAATCGACAGTAGGGAAAATTAATCATAGGCGTAATATATAGACCTCCCAATCTTGATAGAGTTAACTAGAGACTTATCTGGGATGAAATGGGCAGGGCTTCCATACACAACAAAGTCTGTATAGTAGGCGACTTTAACCTTGGCCAGTAACTCAGTATCAGAGGATTTCCTCGAAACGATCCAGGACTGTTTCCTAAGTCAACATATAACCGAACCCACCCGGGGTAATAATATACTCGATTTAGTTCTGTCGAACAGAGAAAACCTCATTAGCAATGTCGAGGTACGGAACGAACTTGCAAACAGCGATCACAAAGAAATTAGATTCCAGTTAGATTTTCAGGTCAGAAGCAAGGAAAATTCCATTAAAGTCCCAGATTTCATAAGGGCAAACTTTGAAAGTTTAAAGAGGCAGCTGAGAGAGGGGGTGTCGCGCTTGGGAGTGAGCCTGACAGACGACACCGACCTGATAACGAGATCTGAGATTGTCGAGTTCCACGACAATTTAAATAATGAGTTACTTAATGCACAAAGGCAGAACATACCATACAGAAAACTCAGATCAGACAACAATGACCCTAAATGGATAAATAATTATTTAAAGAACATTATTGGCCAAAGGAAGGCTATAGGTAGAAGGATAAACCGTGGCGAAATTTACCTCCGGGAGTATTATAAGGTATTGGCTGGTAGGGTTAAGACCGAGATAAGAAAAGCAAAGAGGAATAATGAACTGAAGATAGCAAGGGAGGCAAAGATAAACCCCAAAGGATTCTACCAAATGTATCAAACTAAAACACGAGATAAGATTGGACCAATACAGTCAGATACCGGCGAGCTAACTGATAACGACGGAGAAATGAGCAATAATCTGAATAAATATTTTTCAACAGTTTTCACCACCGAAAATTTAAACATGATACCCGAGGCTCCGACTCTATTCAGAGATAGTGAAGAAAACAAATTAAGTGAGATAGTAGTGACTAGTAACGATGTTAATAAGCAAATAGACAAACTGAAGCCAAATAAGTCACCTGGTCCCGATGAGATATTTGCCAGAGTATTAAAGGAATGTAAGGAAGAGCTTAGTATGCCCTTCGCAAAGTTGTTTAACATGTCATTAAAAACAGGTGTAGTACCAGAATCCTGGAGGATAGCGAATGTAATACCGATTTTCCAGAAAGGGGATAGATCACTATCCTCTAACTACCGCCCAATCAGTCTAACATCAATAGTAGACAAATTACTAGAATCAATCATTTTAAACTCTATTCGAAACCACCTGGAGAAGCACAAAATGATCAATGATTCCCAACATGGCTTCACAAGCGGGTGTTCATGTCTAACTAATCTATTAACATTCTTTTCATCAGTTTTCGAATCGGTGGACGAGGGGCACAATTATGATGTGGTATATCTCGACTTTAGCAAAGCCTTCAACAGAGTCCCCCACGAAAGACTAATTAGAAAGGTAGAAGCGCATGGCATCAAAGGTAATAGCCTTAAATGGATTAGGGCGTGGTTACGGGACAGGAAACAGCGAGTGAGGAGTGAGCATAAACGGCACTAAATCGCATTGGAGCAACGTCACTAGTGGAGTACCCCAAGGCTCAGTACTTGGACCATTATTATTTATTATATACATAAACGACATAGATATCGGCATAGACAGCAACATAAGTAAATTTGCTGATGTGGACAAGAATGACGATGCCAGCAAAATGACCCAGGGGATGCAACTCCTATGGACCGACTCTGACCTGACCAGTGATGCTACATTTTAGTATCGGCGCTGAAAACAAACACTTCTTTGTGTATGATACGTCAGGTGCCATGCCAGTCTGTGATGATCTGACACACAACAACACAGCCACGAAGATGTAATAGATACGACCCCAATAAATAAATAAATAAATAAAAGTCGATATTTAATTGTTCATGTCTATATCATAAATAAATAATTATAAATAATTTACAAGTTGTACACACACATATACTAGTTGGTACTCATTTCCATGTTTTAATGACACTGACCCTTCATCTTTCACGAATTTCAACCCCTCGAAAAGTGCCTAACTTACGAAACCACACAAAAATTTTGGTTAAATTTACACCATTTTTTCAGCTTAAGACTAACGTAACTACAGGCATTTTGTCAACACCGTTTACGAAATATAAGTGAGAAAGTACGAATCTTTGAGTACCTGTATTATATAAGAGGGAAACAGTCCTCCTTCTTCCCCCCTAGAGTCGGATAGACACTCAACTTACTCCACCTCTGGGATTCTGATTCATAATTTTCACATAACAAAATACTTCTAGTTATGGTACAGTTTCTAGCGTAATTTCGTTGCCATTTTCATAGCCAAATTGTTTCGTAGATTAAATAAGCCAGTTAGATACATTCTCATGGTTCTGCTTTTGGGAGACGAGGTGATACCTGTTAAGAATTGGGTGTCGCTGGTCACATAGTGGATCAAATAAACGTCCAGGTCAAACACGTGTTAGTTTCATGTAATTGGTTGACCCGACCCATTAATGTAAGCGTTTGTATTCCACCTGCTAAAGCTACCACAGGCATACAACTTCCTTTAATAGTGTTATGCTGCCCAGACTCACCAAGTTAACTCGATGTATTCTTAGCTCCTTCATTTATTCACTCTATTCTTTAAAAAATACTTTGGTTCTACCCCTCTGGAACGCCTTTCATTAATATCTATAGGGTTTCCACATACAGTAAGCACACTCATCATACACATCACATTTGTCTGAACTGATGCATTTTGAGCAGCTTTTTTCCTCTCTGCTTAAGAATGCATATTTGTGATTTTATTTCCATGGCGCTGAAATTGTGTTCTTGGGCAAAGTAAAACAACGTGTTGTCAGAAACGTTCACACACACACACACACAGCATATTATATCATTATGTCTAAATCAAATGTAAGTCTGTATATTTTCAGCCACCGGCTGCAACTCTATTAATAAACCGTTTATTATTATTATTATTATTATTATTACTTACACACACACACAAACACACACTTCTGTCATTCGTATTCAAATAAGACTATTATCCGCCAATGAAAAGGTGAGAGGAATATTTAGTGCTTAATATTCGTTGGTAAATTCTGAGGCTAGAGAGGACAATATTATAGAGGCTACGCACGTGTGGTGGGCGAGATGTAATTCGGACAGGTGGCGACAGTCGCCGTCGTAGTCGTCGTCGTCTGCTAATGCTTGTCTACAAGTTGTCTGCCTCAACGTTGTAGTGGATCAGCCTTTAAGGTTTTTACACCCTCATGTATAGAACCAAACACACAATGTGCTTGAATACCTCTCACACAAATGTGAATAACAAAGTGTGTGTTCAGACATATTGCCTCACATTGCTGTATATCCCACAGTTGCGAATAAGTTACCCTCTATGTACAGAACTAAACAAAGAATGTGTTTGAAATACTCTGCAACATTCAATGTCATTATATTCTGACCACAAAGGATTGTTATACAGACCCTTTGTGACCTCTACTCTGTAATCCTTTTGCGCTACCGCTCACAGGATGAGTATAGGCTGCACAACAAACTAGCAGCTGTATGTGAGTGTCGATTTGGCTCTTCTTTCGGCTTGCCTTATCATATAAGGATCCTTAAAGCTGTAGAGTAGATGCTTTGGTAATTTATTATCGGCACATTTTTCTCTATTATCCGGGTTCGACCCCCGATCCGGGTCAGATGTGAGAAGGGTAATATGCAATGAGACTCAACCATCACATGTTTTCTCCTGTACTAACGGTGGGCAATGAAGGTCGTAACAAACAACAGACCGACCGCCCGAACAGCTAGTATTGTGTGCTGGTAAGTGGTACATATAATAAAAATATAAGTATATTAACACTTAAGAACTTCACTTCACATTCATCTACTGCTCACCGATTACCTGGTCATGACGTCACAAAATGGGCGGCGCCAATAAAAAGACACAACCTCACTGGCCCGGAGCGTGTCATGGGCGGAGCCAGTGTGGGAGATGTCAAGAACAGGTTAACTATCAGCGTAGTCGAGTTTCATCTCTCACTCTAGGTCCTCCTCGTGTCTTGGTCCTGACTGGTAAGTGTTACTCACTTTACACACACAAGCATAATAAATAAATATATATATATATATATATATATATATATATATATATTATGCTGAACCACTGACAAATACTTTGAAAACCTTTGATCTTGATGTATGATAGTTATTTTGTAGGGTCCTTTTTCTGACCTGACCTGGCTAGTCACGTCACCACCTTCTCTTAAACTCCTCTACGTGTGTGTTGGTGTGGGGATTAGTGGATGTCATCATTATGACCTGACCTCATGTTTTAGGTCACCCTGTATATTTAAGCCTCTCTCTGTCCATGTAATCCAGTTGCCCTCTGAAGATGTCTTGAATAAAGACGAAAGCTAAGGTACTCCGTTGTTTCCATTTTTCCGTGATTTTATCAAGATTTATCTTATCCACGTTTTTCATTGGTTACATATATATATATATATATATATATATATATATATATATATATATATATATATATATATATATATATATATATATATATATATATATATATATATATATTTCTAAATGTTTTTGTCTTTTATATATATATATATATATATATACACATTAGCGGAATCATTAAGCCATGTACAGTAGGACGTTACACCCTCCGGGAGGCTCCACATTGTCTCACTGTAGTGCATTAAGGTAGACCACATTTTTGGTTTTGCCATTAGCAGCAAGTATGTACAGATTTTTGCCAGTTCCCACTCTGGAGCATCCAACATAGAACTGTCCATGAGAGAAGCAAGGAAACACCAGGTTTAGGCCAACCATCTTTAGGGACTGTCCCTGGCTTTTGTAGATGGTCATGGCAAAGCTCACTTTAACCGGGAACTGAAGTCGCTTGAACTCAAATGGCAGGTCAGTGGTGATGAGAGGTATCCTTGGTATAAAAACGTCCTCTCCTTTAGCTTTTCCTGTCAGTATTGTAGCTTCCAGTACATGTGGCATCATGTTCTTCACCACCAGTCTTGTGCCATTGCAGAGCATTGGTGGTTCAAGATTTCTTAAGAGCATTATAGGAGTTCCAATCTTGAGAGTGAGGTGGTGAGGAGGCATTCCAGCGGGCTCCAAAGAATTAAGGAATTCTGCAGGGTACTGGACTGCTTGGTCCTGGTCGATTACTGTATCAACAGATTTGAATGAGGTCTCACTGCCTGGAACTGTCTGAGTAGAGTCATGTTGATTTCAGCCACTGTTTCATTCTTTGGTGCCAGAATTGCGCGTTCACGCAGCCACTTGTGATCCTTGTAGTGGTGGATAATGTTTGGGTAGACCATGTTAGTGAGCTCAGTTGAGGACTTTACAACATTTCCACATCCTTGAGGAATGATTATTTGTCCTTCTGAATCAACAGGGAAGTTCCATTCCCAATCTGTAGTAGAAGGTTTGCAAACCGTCCAGCATCCTGATCTCCTTGTAGATGTACTCTCATGTTTGTGGATAGGGTGAGTGTCTGAACACTTCTCCAAAGGTATGATGCCTTGAGGCACGCATCCAGTTCATAAGCTGGAGTGCTTCGAGGAATGACAGGTAGGGTCTGGCGAAAGTCTCCAGCAATGACCATTGTAATGCCACCCATAAGCTGGTCATTTTCTCGTATGTCTTGCAAGGTCCTGTCCAATGCTTCAAACGCTAACTTGTGAGACATAGTGCATTCATCCCAGACTATGAGGCTGCATTTTTCTAAGAGTTTTGCCTTTGCCGATCCTTTTTTGATGTTGCACACTGGATTCTCATTGTGGGCGAGGTTGAGAGGCAGTTTAAAAGTTGAGTGTGCAGTACGTCCTCCTTCTAGTAGTGTTGCAGCAATGCCTGAGGATGCCACAGCAAGAGCAATTTTCCTCTGATGACGTACTTTGGCCAACAGAATGTTGAACAGGAATGTTTCTCCTGTCCCGCCAGGTGCATCGAGAAAGATCATACCTCCCTGCTCCGCTTGTATCGCTTGCAAGATCTGTTCATAAGCATTTGCTTGATCAGGCACCAGGTGAAGCTCATTTTCTTCAAGAAAATTCACCAGAACTTCAACTGAGTAGTCTGTCTCTCTGAGCAACTCCCTGTTTGCAGCTACTGTTCAGTCCCCAAAACTTCTTCTTCCATCAATAGTTCGTTAACGGTGTATGTAAGTTCCACTACAACGGTACAGCAAAGTATATTTTTTAGCATTAAACTGTTATTATTTTATTGTCTAATCATCACTACATATAACATCATCCATCATCACTACATATAACACCAGCCATCATCACTACATATAACACCACCCATCATCACTACATATAACACCACCCATCATCACTACATATAACACCATCCATCATCACTACATATAACATCATCCATCATCACTACATATAACACCAGCCATCATCACAACATATAACACCACCCATCATCACTACATATAACACCACCCATCATCACTACATATAACATCATCCATCATCACTACATATAACACCAGCCATCATCAATACATATAACACCACCCATCATCACTACATATAACACCACCCATCATCAATGCATATAACACCATCCATCATCACTACATATAACACCATCCATCATCACTACATATAACACCACCCATCATCACTACATATAACACCACCCATCATCACTACATATAACAACATCCATCATCATCACTACATATAACATCATCCATCATCACTACATATAACACCATCCATCATCTACATATAACACCACCCATCATCACTACATATAACACCATCAATCATCACTACATATAACACCATCAATCATCACTACATATAACACCATCAATCATCACTACATATAACATCATCCATCATCACTACATATAACACCATCAATCATCACTACATATAACACCATCCATCATCACTACATAACACCATCCATCATCACTACATATAACACCATCCAATCATCACTACATATAACACCACCCATCATCACTACATATAACATCATCCATCATCAATACATATAACACCATCAATCATCACTACATATAACATCATCCATCATCACTACATATAACACCATCAATCATCACTACATATAACACCATCAATCATCACTACATATAACACCATCCATCATCACTACATATAACACCATCCATCATCACTACATATAACACCATCCATCATCACTACATATAACACCATCCATCATCACTACATGTAACACCATCCATCATCACTACATATAACACCATCCATCACTACATATAACACCATATCACTACATATAACATCATCCATCATCACTACATATAACACCATCCATCATCACTACATATAACATCATCCATCATCACTACATATAACACCATCCATCATCACTACATATAACACCACACCATCATCATCACTACATATAACACCATCCATCATCACTACATATAACACCATCCATCATCACTACATATAACATCATCCATCATCACTACATAACACCACCCATCATCACTACATATAACACCACCCATCATCACTACATATAACACCATCCATCATCACTACATATAACACCATCCATCATCACTACATATAACACCATCCATCATCACTACATATAACACCACCATCATCACTACATATAACACCATCCATCATCACCACATATAACACCATCATCACCATCATCACTACATATAACACCATCCATCATCACTACATATAACACCATCCATCATCACTACATATAACACCACCCATCATCACTACATATAACACCATCCATCATCACTACATATAACACCACATCATCACTACATAAAACATCATCCATCCTCACTACATATAACACCATCCATCCTCACTACATATAACACCACCCATCATCACTACATATAACACCATCCATCATCACTACATATACCATCCATCACTACACCATCCATCATCACTACATATAACACCATCCATCATCACTACATATAACACCATCCATCATCACTACATATAACACCATCCATCATCACTACATATAACACCACCCATCATCACTACATATAACACCATCCATCATCACATATATACCACCCATCATCACCATATAACACCACCCATCATCACTACATATAACACCATCCATCATCACTACATATAACACCATCCATCATCACTACATATAACACCACCCATCATCACTACATATAACACCATCCATCATCACTACATATAACACCATCCATCATCACTACAGATCGGTAAAGTAGTTTCCGATATTCTCGTGCAGACACACACACACACACACACACACAAACATTTTATTCAAGAAAATTTACCAGAACTTCAACTGAGTAGTCTGTCTCTCTGAGCAACTCCCTGTTTGCAGGTGTGTGGAAACCACTTTAATTATCACCTCACAACTTAAAATGACCAATTGTTATTTAGGGGTGTTGCCTCTTCCCTCACCTCGAATTCTATTTTGAATTACATGTGCGGGCAAATCTTGTGTGTTGAGTACTTACTTAAGCACAGTAGTGATATCGATGAGCATGTATGTACGGAGTGTGCCAGACGTCTGAACTCAAAGAAAATAAACATTGTACAAGAAAACATATTTCAATGTAATTTTTACATATTTCATGAAACAGAAGGTGTTCCGATAAAGACCAGAGGAAAGCAGGGCAGTCTTCACAACAACCACCCCGAGAAGCCAATTAGCCAGCAAAGTGCATTATACTTCCTTAAATACTGTATCTAAAACCGACATTAGAAATATGTTTGTTTTAAATTTAAGAATACAGTGACTATTTTCCCCTAAGTTCAGACTTCTGCGACACCCTGTATATTAGTTGTTTGTTGCAGGTGCTGACGGCGAGTTATGGAGGCCACGGCCAGAATAGGACAACTGGCGCCAATAGACCCTGTGTGGAATATTCAAAACGAGGTACATGGAACGCAGACCACAAATCAGGGCCGAGGGAGTTCAGGGAGTAAGGTCAGGGGGGTATCGCCCTGGGTCAGAGCCTGCAGAGTTTAGGCTCTGAAGACACTGGGGTTAAGGTTAATCTCTGAGACTAAGGAGTACAGAAGTAAATGTCCAGGGGTAAGGCGTGGAGTATGTGGTTATAGGTTAGGTTAGGACCCGAGACTTAGGACGGTGAATCACTGCAAGAGGTATAAGTCAAGCTGATGAGAGAGGGAGAGTGTCAAGGATCAGAGCTGCTGATTAGAACAATCTCTCAGGACCAAAGCTTCAGTAGTCTATTTTAAGTTTCATTAGCCCTCACACAGGTATGACAGAGGTCCTCTACCACTCAAGTGTAGACTACTCTACAGTACAGCACAACGAAGTCTGTAAGGGCTCAGTATTAGGGATTTGTTAGGGGTGAGGGCCAAGTTTCAGAGTCACTGTTTGGTCTACACAACAGTAAGGTCTATATCAGGGTACAGGCAAGGGATGAGTACTAACCTTAAAGACCAGTCAGGGTTCTAAGGCCATAGTAGTCTACTTTCTTTGGTCCAGTGTAAAGTCTGAAATAGATAAGAACCAAGTATTAAAGACAGTTATAACTTCACCTCTCCTTAGTCTACAATAAAGTCTGCTCGGAGTGAGGACAGATCAGGGTTTAGGGCCACTATACCCCCCCACTGGTCCACAGTTAGGTCTGCCAAGGGATCAGTGCTAGGTTAACGGCCACAGGTGAGAGGCAAGGCCGCACTACCACATTCCCTCTTGGTCCCCAGCTGGTTCTACCGGTGCATCAGGGGAAACTGGATGGGAAGAATCTGGAAGCAGCGGTGGTGCTGGTGTTCAGGATGGCCATCCATATCAGCAGGGTCTTCAACCCCGGTAACGGCAGGTGAGGTACATTCATTTACGCATCCATCTCCCCTTTGCAGTTTTGTGACACTCACATCTCAGCAACAGCAAAAGACTGACCATCGCTACCACTAACCAAGTCACTTGTGACTGCTCTTTTTTTGTACTTTCAGTAGCTCAAGCACAGCTGACAGCTGCTCTGCGACCGACCCTGCGAACAAGGGCACTTGCTTCTGTTGCTTTTTCTGAGAGAGACTGTTTTAGCGGTTTGTGTGTGTGTGTGTTTGAGAGAGAGAGAGAGAGAGAGAAGACGTACAGGCAGGTGAAGATCGATGACCGCCCCTCAACCTGCCATCATCAACACGGCAGGTCACCGACCTCCTCGTGCCATCATCTTCCTCGACAATGTATTCGGGGACAAAATCCTCAGGATCGACGCCGCTGGTCCTACCTATTATTCTTATCCACTATTCTCTCGCCAAGACTACTACCCTAATGATGCTGTCTGCTTTTCCTATCCAAACACGGGGCGCCAGCACTTCTTTAGAAAACATAAGTACCGGGGACACCTTCTTCATTCGTCAACCGGAGGACGCCAGCAGTACACTCACACACTGTCGTGATAATGTTAACACTCATGGTATATGTGCATGATATTGATAACACATTATACTGTATTGTTAGCTTTTAAAGCTCACACTTGGAAGTATCACAACATTCTTTGGCTAAATCTTCCAAGAGTCCACAACTCTTACCCCAATGTTAACTCTGATAATTTTCTGTACTGAAATCTTTAACCTAACACTATGACAGCCATGCTTTAACTCCAGTCGTGTACTATATAGTTACTGTACATTTGCCTGAGTAATGTCCTTTGAGGTGTTTATACACTTATATCGCCCCTCTTTATCATAAACTGGACAATTATAGACGCGTCATGTCTCTTTTTGCAAGTGAGGTGTCTGAGTGCCGGCACCATTTTGTAACCCTCCTATGGACGCTCTCAATCAACTAACAGTCGTTTGCACATCCCGAAGATCAAACAACTGTAGCATATCAAGTGAAGAAACACTGCACTTTTCAAGGGGCTTATTAAAGACAAATTATATGATAGCATCTTTGTATTAAATCAACTAGTTTATTATCAAGGTTCACCTTGTCACAATGATACATTATTTTCAGTAAATGAAACACCTTCCTTAGGCAGGGATATGTGTTATACTACCTTACTATTAGTACAACTGAGATTCACCCAACGTTGAATCTCAGCATCCATTCTTGTGACCATGATGGTCCTTTAGTGCTTCACATTTAATTAATAAAAACAATTAATGTTGAACAAAATATGTCAGTTTGGTATTACTAAAATGATTTAAAGTTATATTATATCCGACCTTCATTTCACAGGGCGAAAAAGAAGGGATGGAGCCCCAGGTATTAGGCAGCTACCAAACAGGGAGGTACTACCGCCTGGGGAGGTATTGGAAGCATAATGTGTTGTCTAATGGTAGACCCTGCTGTCATATGGCATCACGAAAATTGTGACCAAGTCCCAGGTTGCTGATCTGACTTTTTGCCTCATTTACACACAATTGCAGGGTCTCAATTGTTTCTCTTACTATTGACAACACAACATATATACTGTATATTGTTTCTCACTAAATTTTTTTTCAATTTGTATTTCTTTATGGTTTATTATTATTATTATTATTATTACATTTTTGCCCCCCAGGCCCCGATGTGGGTCAGTGACCTGTGCCTGGGTGGGCTAATCCCCGTAAAAAAAAAAAAAAAAAAAAGTGGTTGTGCTAGACTTTTTCTTGGGAACACCTCTATACCTGTTATTTAATTCCCCCCAAAAATCTGAAATCACATTGGTGGAGGATCCTGAGGGAGGTGCATGGTAGGGCACCCTGACTCCTGTCCTATTGGAGACTATTATGATTAAGGCCCATTAGAAGTAAGACCCATTAGGAATTGGCCTTAATATTAATGAGCAGAGTAAGTTACCCATGGCCTTGTGCAGGAGCGTGGGGCTGGACCAGGCGTCACTGTACCAGCACCTGGAGGGATCGCTAGCGACCGTGGGGCTGGAGGGTCGAACCTGTCTCCTGAGACTGGTGTGTGACGCTCAGAGCCCAGCACTTCTTCGACTGAACCTCATGGGGAGTCTTCTGGCCGCCATCTTCACGTGAGTCCGTGTGTGTGTGTGTGTGTGTGTGTGTGTGTGAACAAAGTGTAGGTCTTCATGCCAGTTATTTCTAAAGGGAAATAATAATGATCGCGAAAATATCCAAGGTTCGTAAGACGAATATTTCTTATATGTGAAGATTTAAGATATTAGAATGCACCTAACAGGTTGACTTAACCAGATTACAGAATTAACTTCCAGAAATAACATCATAATTACACCCAAGGCTCTATCTAAAGTAGATACGTTCACTTTACACCAGTTGGGGCACACTATTAGTCTTTCCCAGTATTCTGGAACTTAATTTTGTCGCCTCGCGTAAAAATATCTAATGTAAAATCTGTGTAGTGATAATGTTATTTCTGTGCTCTAGCTTGAGTCAACCAAGAAGGAACATTCCTTAATTTTCATATGTGAGGAATATTCATCGTGTGAACTTTTTGATATAGGCACAAGCTGCGGCTGAGTGGTCAGTGAACTTGTCAAAGATATCAAGTTTTCTGTTTCAAGCTGCCACGTTGGCGACAATGTTATGAAAAGTTGCACTCTATGAGAAGTTCCACTTAACCCTAATCATGCATGGAGAGAGAGAGAGAGACTAAGTGACATTAATGCCCTGTCAACAGACCGCGGGAGGAGGCGGTGATGGAGGAGTACAAAGAAGCGGCGCGGGTGGGTCGTGCACGAGAGAGCTGCGCCAAACACTACCCCTCCTGCCCCTTCTCCATCTTCAATATCTTCGATTTCAGCAAGAACTTCAAAGCTTCCAAGAACTTTATGACCACTTCAACGCCCAAGACTTTTTCGTCAAAGTCCAAGACTTAGTCAACATTCAATAACCTCCGATAACGACTGAAAGAACAAGCTTGAATGCTGATGACGGACTGAAGCAAGCACTACTCAATGGGCAACCAATTGGGCAGCTCCAATACGAAATATTACATTCCTTGTTGTATTCTTTGCCTTTTATACAACAAGGTCCGCGTCATTATACTAAATCCAGTATCATACTGTGAACCCTGAAATGAAAAATGGTTATTCTTGTATACATTTTTTTTTATATAGGCCTACAGAATTCCTTGTCATATAGCGATTCCTTTAATGTATGCTCAATTATCTAGTTATGTACTGAATTCTTAACTCTATACTGATTCCCTATTGATATGCTGCCAATTTGTACAGCATACTGAAATCTTTAGGTCAAAAAACAAAGCTAGTTCTGACTGGGGAGTGGAAATCCAGGGGAGCGCAAATTATACGTGACACCATCTATATCCCTTATTTATAGATGCTGAATTCCTTGTATCGGTAATTAGAATCCATCACTATATACTGAATCCCTTACTATAAAATTGTATACCAGATCTTTACAGTGTAATAAATCCATCAATAAAACTATAAATCTTTATTATGCCCCCTCCTCTATGCAACTAAATATGGCATAAATATAGCCTTGCGGCGTCAGATGACTTTTCGTTTTAGTTATACTGAACTAAAGTGAAATTATGTTTGGAGATGCTGCCCAGCATAGTTCATAAGCCAATAGATAACAGTTATTATGAAGGGCCTCAAATTTAATATGAATAATGTAGCCTATAGTGCGGCTCTTGAACCTGACGCGTCGTTGTGTTAGATGAATAATGTAGCCTATAGTGCGGCTCTTGAACCTGACGCGTCGTTATGTTAGATGAATAATGTAGCCTATAGTGCGGCTCTTGAACCTGACGCGTCGTTGTGTTAGATGAATAATGTAGCCTATAGTGCGGCTCTTGAACCTGACGCGTCGTTGTGTTAGATGAATAATGTAGCCTATAGTGCGGCTCTTGAACCTGGCGTCGTTGTGTTAGATGAATAATGTAGCCTATAGTGCGGCTCTTGAACCTGACGCGTCGTTATGTTAGATGAATAATGTAGCCTATAGTGCGGCTCTTGAACCTGACGCGTCGTTATGTTAGATGAATAATGTAGCCTATAGTGCGGCTCTTGAACCTGAGCGTTGTGTTAGATGAATAATGTAGCCTATAGTGCGGCTCTTGAACCTGACGCGTCGTTGTGTTAGATGAATAATGTAGCCTATAGTGCGGCTCTTGAACCTGACGCGTCGTTGTGTTAGATGAATAATGTAGCCTATAGTGCGGCTCTTGAACCTGACGCGTCGTTGTGTTAGATGAATAATGTAGCCTATAGTGCGGCTCTTGAACCTGACGCGTTGTTATGTTAGATGAATAATGTAGCCTATAGTGCGGCTCTTGAACCTGACGCGTCGTTATGTTAGATGAATAATGTAGCCTATAGTGCGGCTCTTGAACCTAACACTTTGTTATGTTATTTCAAATCGACAAGTCTTCATTATGTCATTAACTTATGAGCAATTATAAGACAAAATCTAGACTTAAAAAAATGAATTCTCTACACCAGTGGTTCTCAACCTTGTTTGCCCCATGCACCCCTTTCACCATATGTCAGAATGTCATTCCCCTCTCCTTTCCAAGATTGTCTGCCTCAAAAAGTGCAATCCAAATAATATGCATATAATACTGAAAATGCTTTATTTTTTCCATATTAGTATCAGTTTCCCCCCCCCCCCTGAAAACCTGAGGAGGGAAATTCCCCCCTGGTTGAGAACCCCTGCTCTACACAGTAAAATGACGCAGCCAAACTAAACAGAACACCATGTTAAAATGGCAACCACATCTCCAAACTGTGTTGCATGCTTCCCTTCACAATGTCACCAGACACCGTTTTCATCACTCAACTGGAGTCACACAGGCAAATCGCGCCAAGTTATATTAAGTCACAAGTGTAATGAACAATAACAGGATGAGCGATGACAAACTACTACACTGTTCTTAGGTAAAAATTTTCACTTTGTTGCTTAGTAATGTATTAAATATATGCGTGAATGTGCGAGGTATCACATATACTGCACATGAAGCGCTATATGATATAAATTAACAACCTGAGGTTGTTATAAGAGGTCCTAAAGGAGTTGAGTTGTGACTGAGGTTTGAACAATAACATGAAGATAATTATCCAAGAGTTGATGGGAAATACATAAGAAGCTGTCGCTACGACAGCTTTTCGAGAAGCAAGTTGAACTGAAGTTGGAGATTTATGGGTAATTATTGATGAATGACCCGCTGCTGATTTTTCATAGAAAACGATTTTAAAAACGCATAATGATGAATAACAGTTCCAACTTATGAATATAGCAACATTTATTTGGTAACGTTCAGACAAATCTCTCTTCATCATCAGACTTAAAACAAAATTAAATACGCTAGCATCGAAAAAAATCAACATGTCTGAATGGAATAAGACAAAAAATCACTAAGTACAGTACATTGAGAGAAGCATAAAAAATACATTGAACAAACCATCGAGTTATTACCGGTAATTATAAACCTATACTTCAATTTAACCACACAGTGCAAAAACACTCAAATTAACAAAGCTTTGAGTCTACAGGTGAATATACAAAGGTGAGCACATCTGTTCTTGAATCGTAATTGTTGTAACATACGCGTTCTACTCCAGAACATGCAAACGTGATTCTTATTCTGAGTCTCGGTGAGTAACAGTACACCGTCCAACAGAACGTGGCTGCTAGTCTTGGTGGTGTCCTGCCTTACAATATATACCCGTCACCTCATCACTACGCCCTGACGGCCTCACTCCCCTAACTCCCATGAGAGAGAGTCCTGTACTTATTACCGTGCGTTACGATAGATTTTATCCTAACACCATGACCACGGTCGCAAGCACCTTTAGCTCACTACAGTACCAAACCCCGTGGTGTTGGTATAGTACGCAACCCCCATTTTTCCGGCCGCATATGGCCGGAAAGGGGTAGTCATGTGGCCGGCTGAGTGACGACTAAATTTCGGGTATGTGGCCGGTAAGACTGTTTTTATTCCTTATAATTTGGGTGAAAATAAAGAGCAGGGAAATCAAGATAATGCTGGATGAACATATGCAGTGAGCAGACATTCAGTGTGCTTACGTTTGTGAAGAACAAGTTACCGTTCTAAGCTCACAAGCAGTCACACCACAGAACTGGTGAAGGCTGCTCGAACACACTTTCAACATATTTTTTTTCTGAAATTGCAAATCGTATCCAAGCTCAATCCTCACATTAGTTTTGGTATTGTTCTATGTGTTTGTCTATGGAATTGAAGCCCTTATTTTCCTATGCAAAAAACAAACTTTATTTTACCTGAATATAACGCATGGAGGACATTTTTTTGTCATTTATAATAACATTACATCATTTTTTGGAGGGGTTATTGTACTGTATTGCTTTACGCTTGCATTTCGGGTGCGAATCGGTTATTAAACCGTTATTTTGTACTGCTCGAAGTGTTTTATATTTCCATATTTTTTATTGCTAAAAGTTGTTCCCTAAATCCTTTACAGAATATTTTACTAGGCTAGTGACTAGAACTATTATTTCTATGTACAGTAGAGTATGTACAGTATATGCTGAAAATGAAAGTTATGTTTAGTCTTGAATATCGGTGGTGCTTATAAAAATTTCTGACAATAAAATATAGTCCTGCATTTCTGATTTTACAATCAATTCTGTGGAACACATGCTGACTTATGTTGGCTTAGTACCCCTGCGGCCGTTCGCTGATTACTTGCAACATTAAGTGGCCGACTAGTGCATAAAGGTTGCAGACCCCTGGTATAGATAATGGAGCCATATTTCTAAGTATTTTAACTTGATTTTCCTGATTTTTTACGATGTTTATACGCAGCACAAAATAATACAAAACATACATAGGCAAATTTGTGTACTTGCGCGTTGTGTCCACAAAGTGTCTGTAATACGTTCAACGTTAGTTTCTGCCCATAATATGTGACCAAATAATTCTAACATAGACCACGGTACCACAAAAGTGCACAAATGCCTTCAAAGTTTTCATTCTTACAATGAAGAGTAAAAAACAAATGGAGTCACAGAAGGGTGCAGCAAATATACGGATAAACATAAACTGTCTATCATAATAAAGTAAATGTTAAAAAAGATTGCTAACTTATGTAACCTTTTATATTTAAGGAAACATTTGGTATATTAACTGTTGCATGTGTGAGGGACCTACCAGCTAATGCTCTATAATAACTCCCCGCACCACACCTAAACTTCCACAACTCATAATACTTTCATACCTCATACCACTTCACTATGGGCATTAGCTCTCTTCTTACATCCACCTCGGACAACCAACTCCTCCCTGCCGTTATTTCAATCTTCGACACTGATACGCCCGTTAGCCAATTGGGCGGTCGGCCATGTCACTGCTGTGCACTGTTGGTAAAATTACTAGACCTACAATGGCTCTAGAGTGTACCTGAATTTGTACAACAGGTAGTGTTAGTTAAGTGTGGTCTTCAATGAGTTCACATTCATGCCGCCATAACGCTCTTTGGCAGACTTCTCCTAGAGTTCACAAATCTCTCTCCAAAAAAGTTAGCACTGACAGTCTTCTGTATCTGCGTCTTCCCAACCTGAGGCTGTCATCATACCACATCTACCCCCCCCCCTTCCCCATCCCCAAACCCGCGCTGAGACAAGCCCCGCCCCTAAGACACACACACCGCACATCACCGGATTGCCACACTCATTCAGTTATTCTTAAGACAGGCGCATCACAGAGCAGGACACCGGTGAGTCTGCTGCTACCTGCCACAACTTAATTGTCGCCCTCAACAGCCGCCAACATGTCGGTGGGGCCATTTTTGCTGTCACGCCCCGTGAACTCATTGCAAAATACAATCGTATTTCCCCTCATGACAGCGGGCATGGATGGCCAGGAAACCCTTAGAGGCTTCGTCAACTTTTTAATGCCCATCCACATCATAATCGACAGCTTCGTCGAAGACCTTCAGCTCGGCCGGTGAGTCCCACAACCTTAGAGATCCTCCCATTTTCTTCGTCTGTTCACTTCTGAGCAATTTATCTCTATCTCTCTCTCTCTCTCTCTCTTAAAATCTTAAAACAAAAACTTGACACCTGTTGACCCTGCATGACACTTGTTGACTGTGTGTGACACTTGGTTACCCTGCATGACACTTGTTGGTCCCACATACACTTGTTGACCTTGCGTGACCTTTTATAACCCTTTATAACCTACATTGTGGTGAATCCACATGGCCTTTACTGACCCTTCAATAATTTGATGACTTGGGTGCGACAGGAGCTACAGCGAGGATCAGATTGGGGTGTACGAGAGCCTGGCGTCCAGATTAACAAGTCAGTTCAGGTTGGAGGGGCGCGCCTGCATCCTACGTTTCATCTGCGAACTGCAGCAGCGTCCTATAGGTCGTTGGACGCTGACCGGACACCTCATATCCCTCCTTTTTACGTAAGTGCAGTTTGGCTGTTACTGGAGAGGGGGGGGGACAAACTCTCAACAAGCCTGGTCTAATCTGAGTTGACCTATCCTACCTAAAGAGGGTATATAGACTAAGAAAGTTGAGTTGGCAACGTTGCCCATTTTGCTAATTCAGCGGTGGGATTTCGCCAAATGGAATATTATCTGGTGAGATATTGTGCAACCGAATTTCATCGTGCATGGAAGTGGACTGGTGTGGGTCTGTTGCTATGAGCTCCAGCCCAAGAATAATTCCTTGAGATAAATGTATTCACCAACTGCCACTAGGAGTGCTCAGCCATGTCAACATTGTTGTTATTGTTCATTTTGCATTTTTTGGGGGCTAAATAATGTTTCATTGTCAACAGTGACGGATTTAAGCCCGTGAGGGCCCTTAACCCCACACTACTTAATTTGTTATAAAAGTAAAATGCCCTAAAAAATTATTACCCATAGGCCTAGAATGTGAAAGTAATTTTTACCTTAAACCTCTGAGTAAGCAATGGTGTATCCTAATTTAAACAACCCCCCTCCCTCCTACATGCTGTAAACTACATACAACAAAGGAAAAACTAGCTAGCCAGAAACATAATATGAATAAACGTAAAGAAACTAATTTTATACATTTTCTTTTCTATATTTAAAGTTGGGTGCCCCGAAAATATGGGCGCCCAGTTCGACCACACACTGTTAATACTCCTAATATCTGGCACTGAATATCAATATGAAACATAAGCGTATGGGTATTAAGGTACGGATGAATGTTTAGGAGTGGATGAAAAAAATCAGCCCATGACGTTTGAGCGAAAACACCCACGAGACGCACTAACCTATGTGAGAACTGAATACAAGACCCCTGTTTATTAGTTGACCACTATTAAGTCACAGGCCGCCACTAGCACAACAGAGTACAGTATAGTATCCTGGTTATAATAAAGTAACATGTGGTGGACATGCTAAGGATGTGTGGTGTTGGACATGAGGTGCACATCTGGTCGACATATGGAAGATATGTGATGGATACATTGTGGTGAACATGTAGTGAATATGTTGTCATCATGTAGTGTGTTCGTGGTGGATATGTGGTAGATACTGTATATGGTGTACTGTAGTGGTTATGTGGTTGCACATGTAGTAGTCATATTGTGTACAACATGCGGTGAACAGTGCAGGATCATGTGATTATTATTTTATTTTTTACAGGGATAGCCCACCCGGACACAGGTCACTTACCACATCGGGTCCTGGCGGGCGAAAATGTAGGAGTAGTAGTAGTAGTGGGGACCAGCGCGGCGTGGGTGTGGTGGAGTGTCCTCCCTGATCTAAAGTGTTATTGGAGGGGACATATTCGGAGTGTGGGAGCGGGAAATTTCACAGTGCGTCGGTGAATATCGGATGCCACCCTAAGCATTGTCACCGAAGGTTCTTCTCATCCCTTACGGTATTAATCGCAAATATTCCGTGTGTTCACTGGCTATCACCAAGGGAGTAGCGAGCTGTGAGTATTTGGTGGGTCGACTAGTGCAGGTGCCAGTGCCAGTGTCGACAGGCCTACTTTGGCAGGGGTGGTATCGAGACTCTCGCCCCTATGTAACGGTCACTTCATGTAGGGTCGGCCGACTAAGTGAGTATACAGTATATATAACTAATATTACATCAGAGCGACCATAGAAATAGTGGTTATTTCTGCCAGGGATATATTAACAAGTGTTAGGTGTGACAATTTCTTGCTCCCAGTGTATCATTCTGATGTGTGGATTGTCGCCCATAGGGGGGGTAGTCGACACACCCACGCGCGCACGTATGCCCCTACTACCCGGACATAGCAGTCCAGCCGGTCACCTCTCTGCCCTTTACTCATAAGAACTAGTTTATTCTTCTGTATGGGACCAAAGCAGATGTCGGAGGCGGACGTAACTCGCCCAAGGTGCGGAACACTATGCCGGGTAACAGACATTGCTGCGTCTGTGCTAGCCAGAACCAAAATTGCACTAGCTGTGATTGTGAGAGAAACAACCGACCATGTGCGGTTTGCAGAAAGGGAAACAATTGTCGCAACCCATATGGCAGGGAGCCGACACAGGAGGCCACAGTGGATATCGCCGGGACCCAACCGCCCGATGATATCCTAAATGATAGCAGTGTGTCTACTCAACCTGAAAATGCAGTACTAATAAATGCTGCTCCAATAGTAGCAGATGTCCACGGGGTGAATGAAAGACAGCCACCACAGTGGAATGGCATGTCGATGGAAAATGCAGACATATGGGTTAAAGAAACTTACTCAGAAATTGTCAGGTGGTCGCCAGCTAATCTGTTTGAACCACCCAAGTAAGCGGCCACCAAAGAAATGATTCGGGAGATGATTCGCCTCATAACTGAGTACACTCAGGACTGCTTTCTTGCCCCTTTAGCTCTTCAAATACTGTCAATAATACCACATCTATTCTGTCAGAGGACACATACACAAAGACTAAGCACAAAGAAAATGCGGCAGCAATGAAGAGAAGATTGACAATGTGGCAGAATGGGGCCCTTGAGGATCTCCTATGTGAAGCAAGAACACTGCAGGAGAGACTAAAATTTACAGGTGACGGAAAGCAAAACACCGATGATGTTGCAAGAAAGTTTGGAAAAAAATGCGTGTGGGAAAAGTGTCTTCGGCGGTAAGATCTCTCACAGAGGAATCCTCCGGTGGGGTTCTGCCAATTAACAGAGAGACATTAAAACAACTGAAAGAAAAACATCCCTCTGCAAGTGAAGACGAAGGCATCAGGTTCCAGGGTGACTATATCCCACCAAATGTTGTACTGTTCGAGAAAATAACAGGAGGGATGGTATGGAAAAGGGCACTGAAGACTCGAGTGCCGGCCCTTCAGATCTGGATGCAAACGGTTGGCGAGTCATCCTCAGCACTAACAAGTTTGGCCCCGCAGCAAGTGATCTCTGCACTGCCATTGCCGTCCTTGCAAGAAAGCTGGCATCCTCGTGCTGCCAACACCTCCACGCTCTGGCGGCCTGCCGCCTCATTCCCCTGGATAAGAATCCAGGATGTAGTTCAACTTTTTCAGAATTTTTACCCTCAGCAAGGATGAACAAGCGAGCGAGTCTAGGTGGTTAGTTCTTGCTAAAACCCGACAAGTTCAATGACAGTTGGTCAATTTATAGTAGGGTATTTTTGTGTATAATGATAATTTCAGGCAAAAACAAGACAATTTTATTCTGACACATTTCTCACATTTTAGCCATAACCGAGAGATACCGTGAGTTGAAGACCAGAAAACTACTAGAAAAAGTATAATTTCATTTGCTGCCACCAACCAGGTCTCGGCAATTTTATCATTGCAATCAATAGTTTAGACAATGCTTAGACAATATTTTTCTATGACGTTTCCCTCGTAAATGACCTAGAACCGAAACATTTAATATGCCGGGGATTCCAGGGGCGGTTAGGCTTGTTTGGTGCTATCAATCACATATTCCTAATTAAGTTATCCTAACCATCCAAACCTACCTAACCTTACCTAACTTCCAAGGGAGGGGCTCCGCCCCCTGGCATATTAAATATCTCGATGTTAGGTCATTCGCTAGAGAAACGTCATAGAAGAAAACTGTTTTATAATTGTCTAAAATATTAATTGCAAAGATAAAATTGCCGAGACTCGGTTGGTGGCATCAAATTATACCTTTTTCTAGTTGTTTTTTAGTTTTCAACTCACGATATCTTGGTTATGGGTAAAATGCGCCAAAAGTATAAAGGAAGAAAATAGTCTTGTTTTTTTGTTAAATTACCAAAAACACTGAAAAAATACCCTTTATCTAATTATGTCCTCTACTATAAATTGGCCTGACAGTTTTTATTCATAGACAATTTATTAAAAAGTCTCAGAAAAGAATAGTGGATGAGACGGCTAACACCAATTGTTCGATTTCGTCAATTTTTCCACAGATGTTCTTTTGATGATAGTAGTAACAAAAACGATACTAAAACTTTTTATTTTAATTTTAAGTATTTTTTTCTCTACGATCATAAATCACCAGTAGTGAGCAGGACATGAAGGATGATGGAAATTGAGTGGTAAAACACGGCGAAAAAAATAATCAAATGACACTAACATGTCTCTACATACTTTGTAGGCGAAGAAATTATTTACCGTAAATGTTACGCCGAAAAATCTTTAGTGTCGACGCATGTTGTCTTCCGCTCTTAGTTTGTTTCAGTAAACAATCGTACTCTCACGTCCACAAAAATGGTAAAATTACCCATGACGGTTCAACAAATTTGCCTTCATTGGTACCAGATATCAAAATAAGTTCTTTCTGCTTAATATGCCGGGGGTCCGGGGGGGCTGGCTAAGGAAGTATAGGAAAGGTTAGGTAGGTTTCTTTGGTTAGGTTGGTTACGTCAGGTTCTATGTGCATTGTCGTATCGTTTTCATTATTTACTACAATCTAAAAACATCTGAAAAATTGAACGGTGAATTTATAATTTTACACCGATCTTTCTTTCGCTGTTATTAATATGTATTTCATAATGTTTAGACAATTCTAAGATAGTTTTCTTCTATATATTTCCACCGGAAATTGAGGATAACCAAGATATTAATTTTTAAAGATTATTAATTTCGCTCATTCAGAAGTCTTCTTTACATCTGGAGGAGGTCTGACCCCCCCTCCACGCGTGGCAGGGACAGATTGACCACGAGGGGGCTAGTTTATTGGGCACCCCCTTACATCCTGTGCAGTGAGAAGTGATACCACCCTTAGGGTCAAAACCTGACTGAATTACTCAGAATAGGCAAACTGTACTTCAAGCTTTGTCAATAAATTTGTTAAACTAAAAAAAGCATCTTAAGCGTTTACAGCGCAAGTGCGGGGGGGGGGGAGAGGTGAAGTGGGAGTTTCTTATTGGCGATAGCGACAAGAGATTTGAGTTGGAAGAGCTTTGCAGACATTGTGAGAATAATTATTTTGCTCCAATTGCAGAGTTA